TAATATTCGCTGTGTGCAAGGTGAACTCAGCATGACGTCACATTGCAAGTCACGGTTTCTTGGAAGCAGCTGATCTAACTGTTTGGTCAGTGTGCATCAGTGTCTTTAAACACAACAGCTACGAATGACTAACCGGTGACTGAAAAGAGCTTCGAGGCCAAAGGTTCAACGTATCCCGCATGTGTGAAGCAACAGCACCATCTACAGGCGGAGGATATACAGATCAGAACGTGCAAGAAATAAAAGTCTTCCCATGTGTGCAATTTACTCAGTAAAATGAAGGTTTATTAGAAAAAAAATACATGGAGCTCAAAGAGGAGGGCGGACGGGTCGGGGAGAAGTTTAAAACAAGAATTAGGTCACAATTGAATATATTCAAAGTTAAAAAAAAGAGAGAGAGAAAATCTCACGGAGAATCATTAAATCCATTTACAGGATGTGAAATGAGGTCATAGGTTCATTACCATTTCCTATTTTATTAGCAGGTAGTTAGCGTTAGCCTCAATCGCCTCCAGCCACAGAATGAAAGGACGTCTGCGTGCGATGCAAATGTTTGCCTGACAGAAAAGTCTCACGAGAAAATTACACTACATGGAATACAAAATTTCAGACCTGTGATTAACAAATTTAGGACCTACTTACATTTTCTAAAATGAATTGAAGACCTTTGTTTTAGATACATGAATTTAAGACTTTTTAAGAATATGCTAAACATACGGATCTTCATAGGGTGTCTACGACTGTATATTAAACGGCTTACATAAATCTTCATCTGTGATTTCATTAATGAACAAAGAAATAAATCAACAACACAAACATATTTTGCTAATGATCTTGGGCATATCTGCTAATATCTTGAGTTAAAGCACAAGTTTCTTGGGTTGTTCCCATGGAAACTCTTTTCTTCCAAAGTGACCGTAGCAGGCCGTCGCCTGGTAAATCGGCTGCTTTAGTCCCAGCTCTCTGTAAATGACAGGAAACAGCGTCACACGCACAGCTTTTATTTCAGGGCTCATACATGAGGGGGCGGGAGGGTGGGAGGGACTTCACGTACCTCACAATGACTCCAGGTCGGAGGTCAAAGTTCTTCTTCACTATCTGCAGCAGCTCGTCTTCGTCCCTGTCCGACGTGCCGTAGTGGAACACGGTGATGGAGAGCGGGTGACTCACGCCGATGGCGTACGAGATCTGAGAGGAATACCGCGGAAAGCATCACGAGCTGCGTTTCCACTGACCACAGAATTGCACTATTTGGCCTTTCCACAATAAATCTGCTTACTGGGAACATGGAAATTTCGAAATAAACTACTGCATGAACAAACTTATTCAGATGTGATTTTAATCGCGTTTCTTATGTAATGAAAACACTGCAATTGTGACATTGTGTTTTTCGTCATTAGCGGAATATCGACAAGGTTTTGTGCACATCTGTAACTGAAACACAGCTGCTGTTATTGCTTTCCATCCCAGGGTTTCCCCAAGTGTATTACAAGCCTGGCAGGGAAACAGGCTAAGTGTCATTTGTTTATGTTAAACGGGGTTTTTTTACACACCAGAACCACTGACAGTAAAGATGGGGTAAGTCAGGTTTCTCATTGACGCATCGGGGGAGTGCTCACCAACTGCACCTGCCTGGTGGTCTCGCACTATTATTTCCCAATTTATGATGCCTGCTTGTGCACCTCTGAATTTTTGTAACTTTTACCTTTTTTTTTTTACACAATAACATGGTGGACTGCACTAGGGCCCTTAATACCAAACTTGGCGTAGGTTTTCTGGGGGAAACCCTGCGTCCCGCTGCATTTACAGTTACCAGGAACACTGCCTGGGTCTCACCTGAACAAGGGCCCTCTTGCACAGCCCTGCTTTGACCAGAGACTTGGCGACCCAACGGGCCGCGTAGGCACCTGACCGATCCACTTTGGAGTAGTCCTTCCCAGAAAAAGCTCCACCTCCGTGGCCGCCCCACCCTCCGTAGGTGTCCACAATGATTTTACGTCCTGTGAGTCCTGCGTCACCCTGTAGATAACATAACCCCAACAAGTTGTGTTTTAAAAAGAAAAGATCTTTCACGCCTGTAGTTGCGTCGATGCCGACCTGTGGGCCTCCCATCAGAAACTTGCCACTCGGCAGCAGGTGGTAGATGGTTTTCTCGTCCAGATACTTGGCAGGAACGACAACTTTCACCACCTTCTCCATCAGGTTGTGTCTGATCTCCTGCAGGGTGATGTCGGGGCTGTGCTGCACGGAGATGACCACAGTGTGGACGCGCAGCGGCTCCAGGGCGCCCTCGCTGTCTCGGTACTCCACCGTAACCTGACAGACCGCGACAGAGACAACGGGGCTGACAAAAACAGAACAAAGACACAAAACGCTGAAGGGTAAGTTTCCATACCTGTGACTTGGAATCTGGTAGGATCCAAGGACACTCTCCATTAAGAGAAAGCTCCCTCATCCTGTGGTTGAGTTTGTGAGCCAGCAGGAGGGTTAGAGGCATGCACTCCTCCGTCTCATCAGTGGCGTAGCCAAACATCAAGCCCTGGAAATAAAAACCTCATGTGATTAAAGGTGTCCAATGTGTTTTGGTCTGGACTTTAACTAAAACTAACAGATGGATATGCTGTGATTTAAGCCTTCCATTATAGATCTGTTAACATTTCCTCATTTGCTCCTACCTGCTCCTTCCCCAGCTGCATCCACTCACCTGTAATTAGCTCTTCTGGTTCTATTGTCATTGTTTCCTCCATTAACCTCTGCTGTTCCTCACCTGCTCCTGTTTTCTTAACGTCTTTTGTTTGTTTGAATACACTTTCATCAAGTTCATTCGCGACTCCAGTCCACGAATGAACTTGATGGTCCTACCACTAATAAGCCTGCGATTAATTAAGCGATTAATCTCATAATAAAATCAGATGAGCTCAAAAATGTCCATTCTGATGATTAATACTTTTTGAAGGGGAAAATCTGTTTACAACGACTTCATAACCTGTTTTATTTACGGTTTTGGTTGTCATTTTTATTTGTTTGTGGTTGTCAAGTTTTGTTTGGCAATAAATTTGCATTTACCCATGACAAACGCAAAAAAGCTGGCTGGCTAGCTAGCATGCTAGTAAAGTTCGATTAGCAGCTGGTCAGCGATAGCTTCAACCGCCTTGAGGATACCAGAATGTACGAGATTAAACAGTCCTGCCACAACAAATTTAAGACTTTTAATTTAAGCCAGCTTATTTTTTTTTTTACTAACTGAAGACATTTGAAGGCTTTAATTTTAGATACATGAATGTAAGACTTTTTGAGGATCCTGGGACTCTCTGTATATCAGGTGCATTTACAGTACAAGGTCAGATAATGAACCTGGTCCCCAGCCCCGATGTCCTCCTGATCTCTTCCTTCAAACACACAGTCTGATATCTCCTCAGCCTGTGGCTCCAGGGCCACCAGCACGTTGCAGGTCTTGTAGTCGAAACCTGAGGACAAAAACAAGCAGCACGGTTTTGATCTATTGCCTGATTCTCTGGGGACATACCTGTAAACGTCCACGGACAAGTCAACCATGTGATACCTTTCGACGAGTCATCATAGCCGATCTTCTTGATGGTGTCTCGGACAACGGACTGGAGATCCACGATGGCTTTCGATGTCACTTCTCCAACCAGTAAAATCATGCCAGTCTTTGCCACACACTCTGGAATCAGGATTTCAACACATGATTGGGGGTTCCGCTAATGCTAGCCAGTCTTTTATGTTTCAGCTTTTGTTTAATGTGACAGAGTTTCCAAAGTTAACATTTTTTAATAAGCATATTTAATATCTCTACTGACAGCAGCATTCTACAGGGAATGCACGATATATCGGAATCCACATCATATCGATTTCATGAGTAAAACTGAGCCAATATTAGCAAACGATGTTTATTTCTGTCCCATTGCTGTTTGTGTTTGTGGAGGCAGTTGGTCATGTGGTGTGATAGTGATGCAGCAAAGGATTATGGGGTGTTTAACTGAAGCACAGAAATAAATTATAGCACAGCTGTGGTTATTTGTGTTAAAAGGGTGGAAAAGTAAATACAAGAGATGAACAGGAGGAGAGATGATTAGAGAACATAATTTATGAGCTCAGTGATGTTCAGACTCACCACAGGCCACCTTAGAGTCCGGGTCCTGACTCAGGTAAGCATCCAGGACGGCGTCGCTGATCTGATCGCACATTTTATCTGCAGAAACAAAAGACATCAAGTTTAAAAAAGAAAACAGGAACAGAAGCGTCTGTAAAACAATCAGACGGCCTCTTTATTAGGAACATTTAGTTCTGGTTGAAAAAACACCGACAGTTATGAATTACTGTAATAAATTAAGTAAATGTATATTATTGTAAGCAAATCATTTGTACTAGAAATTATGTTACTGTAAATGTACATTTTATAAATATTTGTTAAATCATATGTAGTTATGTCAATAATTATTATTTTAAGTATTTTTATCTGAATTATTGCACCATGACAACTTAAACTGCCTCTGTGGTTTGTCAAATAAATCTGATTGGTTAACCTTACACCAACCACTTTACACCATATATTTTGCATAAAGACATTATGAGTCTTTATAGACACTTTTTGCCCACTAGACACTTTTTAATAGGCAAAACTGACAATTAAAATAACTATATTTTTGAGAAATAAGTATGTTCTTCAGAGATAATAAATTATATATTTGTTTAATCATTGAGTCATTAAAGCAATAATTTAATTATTTTTTTTTTTACTTAAAGTTGCAGTATCTAACCGCAGTATGTAAGTTGTAAGTTTATAAAAAGATATGTACAAATAGATAACAGATAACAGATATGTACAAAAAAATTAATAAATAAATAATAGTTGGCACTTTTGGACCTCCATACAAATGTTCTGAACCATTTCCATCCACCTTTCTTTCAAGTCGTAGCGTAAACTAAATGTTTAGTCCGTTTTCGTCTTTAAGCGCCATTGAAATGACTTCAACTTACTAACTGCATGCTTTACCGTTTCAGAACAGCTCGACCGAATCCGCACATGTGCAGACAGTGTGTTCTGCAGCCTTCCTTCGCCATTGTGTGTGTGTATGTGCTCTGTGTCGGTCGGCGGAAGCTTGAGTGGGTACAGTACCGGAGTGTCCTTCCCCCACAGACTCGGACGTGAACAGGAAAGTCTTCCCGCTGCGCTTTCCGCTGCTGGGGTTCATCTCTGCTGAAGAGAAACGGAGGTTTAACGGAGTCCAAACGTGGCGACGCAGAGTAAAAGAAAAAAAGAGAGAGAGATGACTAGTGACTGTAAAAAGCAATGATTAACTAAGTGTGGAGGTTGAATCTCAGGTTGGTTTTGATAAAAATCAGCCTGATAAAACCTTTCTTCAGCGCTCCTGCGGAAATTAGCTGCTATAAATCATTTCGGTGAAAGTTTTCAGGGCCTTTCCGAACCCTGCAGGCTGATGGCTGAACACCTTCCAGGAATGTTTGTCAGGAAAGGAGCCGCTAGGTGTCGCTGTGGTGTTACATTTTACCAAACATTTAAGTGGAACCAGAGCACTTCTACGACAGTAAAATACGTGTAATATTACTCACTATGGTATAGACCAGGGGTGACTTTGTGCGGTTCTGGCCTCAAATCTGAAATTGAGGAAACATGACCTGCAAGCATAAACAGTTATGGAAAAAAATAATAATTTTTACTTTTTTCTCAAAATTAAACTAGTGTCTTTTGATTTTGGAAGATTAAAGTCAAAATTCTGAGACAAATGAATTCTGAAAGAAAAAAAAATTTGGAGATTGAAGTCAGAATTCAGTGGCCTTTATCCTCTAGCATAGGTTGATGTAGATCAGAGGCGCCCAAAGTGGCTTTGTTTTTAGTGCTCTGTTGGAAAACCCCAGATTTCAGAATCGAAACAAAAGTGAAAAATCCCAACTGTAGAAAGTCGGTGTTGCCTTTCAGATTACAGACAAACCCTAAACATTACAGTAAATGTTGCTAACAGTTTTATCTAAAGTCTTGAAGGTTTTATTACCCTGCAGTCATTTCAGTATTTTTTGCTGACATGCAGGATCCTCAATGTCTGTTAATGTGACTCATGTCCAGATCCGCTTTATCTGAGGAAAAGTTAAACTCACAGAGGAGCTTCTGCTTCTGGTCACTCAGACAGACATTTTTTCAGCTTCATTTATGTAATCTTTGCTTCCCTGTTCGTCTCTGATGAAATAATACACAAATTTCCCAGGTTGTTGTGTTGCAAAACGTGTGAGGAACAAATACAAGAAGAGAGGAAGAAAAACTGCATTCTGCTTAAGATTTTATTCACATTTCAGTTTGTCAATGACTGGAAAGGCTGCTGATTAGAAACGGTTCTTTGAATATGTTTACTGCTGTTGTTTTAAAGGTTTTTGCTAGACTTTAGACCTCTAAGGTATGAGAGAATGTCTTAGTTTAAAAAAAAATCAATAATATTGGGCCAGAAACTGATTAAAGCAGTAAGCTCAAGAGAAATGCAAATAAACATAAAACCTTAAAAAGAAAACAACAAAACTACAGAAGCCCATTTCTGCCATGAAAAAAGAAAGATAGAAAAATCGATCTTAAGGAAATCATAATTACAAGTTTTAAAGTCAGGATTTTTTAGTTTTGAGACTAAAAGTCATAATCTCGACTTTCAAAGTTATTATTCTCTTGATTATGACCGAATCTTATAATTATGACTTTGAAAGTTGAAGACAAGACTTCCAGGTGGGGTTTTCTGTTTCCGTTCATGGCAGAAATGGGCTTCCATACAAAACAGAGCAACAAGTAGAAAGAGACAGAAAATGGTTGAAAACCAGATCCAGAACTATGAAAGGAAATGGATAAATGATAATAATAAAAAAGCTCAGCAACTATAAAGAGGCACAAACTACAAAAAAGTTATGAATTTAACAGGTGTTTGAAATATGCTTTGAGGAAACGTGGTTAAATGACTCCATTAAATAACATTCAGGAGGTTATTGAGTTATTTTGATTTCATGCTTCATAGCACATTACAAAGATGATGACATACAGTTTCATTAAATTATATGCAAGACGCAAAAATGTTTGTGGCAATTTATCTCCACAAATTGTTAAAATAATTCTTAATCACAAAGGAAGTGGATAAAAACACGAGTACCTAATAGTTTGTTTCAAATAAACACATAAAACCACTCCTGAAAAAGAGAGAAAAAATTATTCATACATCTAAAAAAATGAGGTCAAAGATACAAACAACTCAGAAAGTAACTATCATATCATAACTTTACATTACGTGCAGCCGGGTCACAAAGATCAGACAATACATAACTGAGTGTGTAATTTAGTAAAACCTAAAAAGATAGAAACTACAGCTTCACTGTGCTCTGCATGAAGCAGATGGTGACTGTGTTTGCTGAAACGACGAGCTGCGGCAGCACAGGATGAGGAAATGAAGTGGAGCAAGAGCGTGACTTCACCTCACCCCCTTTATTGCCTTGCAAATCTGCCTGTGTCGAAAACACACAGCCCTTTGCCCGGACATATCAGCAGAGCGCCGGCCTGGATCTTCTCCAGACAGCTGATGGTATGTAAAAAACAAGAAAAAAAAACACGTAGAAATGCAACTAAGAGATGTGTTGAACAAACTAGTTTCCCCCCCTCCCCATTTAACCACTACAGAACTGTTTTGTTTTTTGGTCTTGTTAATGAATATGCAGCAGCTCGGTTTCTGCGAAGCAGGAAATGAAAGCGCAGCCTCAATGAGGTCAGAGTTGCTCTAATTCTTTGGTGTTGATGGTAAACGGCTCTAAAACCATTGATAGTTTGATTGAGGCAACTGCTGGTTAATGGATAACTGAGCGGAGGCTCAGCCTTTAGCAAGAATTTGTTGAGCACAGGCCGTGTGAGTCATATGAGAGAAAAAGAAGCACCCTGAAGATCCCCTGCTTTTGTTTACCACACAGGTGGGACTGCAGCTGGAGGGCTTTTGTTTGATTTCATCCATATGAAGCTAAGTTTGATCCGTTGGGATTGAGAAATACTATGGTAAGTGTAAGCTTTTTATTTTTTAAACAAAAGTTTACTTTAGGGTTTATTTGAATGGATATTCTTCATATTTTATGAGGGTCCCCGGTTTTCAGCTCGACCCAGTTTACCTTTTTCTTGTGATTTAGAGCTAGTTTTCGTCAAACAGGTCCAGTTGAAAATAGGTCAGTCATCAAAGCGCTTCCTGTGTAGAACAGTACCAGGAAGAGAAACTCACGACCGGAGCTCCTCTGTGTGTTTTTGCCTGTGAGACTTTCAGTTTCCGTTAAATGTTTGACCCCAACCAAAACTGAGAATGTCGCCACCATTTGTGTCCCGTGCAGGCAGAAGTGAACCCTCAGCCGGCCGCCACGGCCTCCTCTGGCACGTTTGACCAGGTGCAGAGTCAGGTCAATGAAGTTAAAGTTATACTGAAGGACAACATCAACAAGGTCCTGGAGAGGGGCGACAAAATAGACGACCTCATCGGGAAGACGGACGACCTCCAAGCATCTGTGAGTACGAGTAAAAAATGAGGTGGAAGCTTGAAGCACTTGCGGTATGCTACACGTACCTTTGAATCTATGCTAACACTAGCTACGTTTCCATTAAGTTACGTAACTTAAAGTTACAAAACTACATCTGCTTTATAGAAAGAAATAGATGTAAAACTGTAATGAGAACACATTTTTCGCATCATATGAGTCACATGATCAGCAACCAGATGTTACTACTGGAGAAAACAACAAAGAAAACAACAGGAAGTAGTAGCAGGAGGATGGATTGTCTTTGGTTCTTTCGTATGATGTGCAGCATCGTACAACTCATAAAAGGTTGTGTCATTCCAACGTGTTGAATCCATTCCTCTTCTGAAAAATAACCCACTACAATTTCCCCAAAACGCCGCATACGTAGCCTCTCCCAAGTAGGCAGAGCTTGTTTCTCCAACACCTGAATAACACGCCATCATCTCCTCTGATGTCTGTAGATGATGATTGTTGGTGCCACAACTAAATTATGAACATATCTCATTTAACTGTTTGCATTCATCACTTCCATGACTTTTAATGACTTGTCGCGTGAACAAGCTCATTCACATGTGATTTTGATTACATTTCTCATTTAATGGAAACACCACAATCACAAAATCATGGGGGTTTTTTTCACATTAGCAGAATATAGACAAAGATTTTTTTACACATTTGTTATGGAAATGTCTGTCACTGCCAGTCTTCCATAAAGTTTTGACAGGCGAAGAACCAAGGCAACAGTACAGTAGCACAATACAACACAGTCTTAAGACAAAATCAGTCTTCATGATGTAATGGTCACTATGGATACTGATTAACCAGCGAATGGACCTCGATCACTTGTGAGACAATCACTGCACTCAGGCGATCTCTAGTCCACTCACTGTGAGACGACCAGCACCATTTGACTGGACCTCTGTTGAATTGGGTCGGCCACTTTAAACATTCACTCAATCACTTATTTTATGGTGCATATTTTTATTTGTCATGATTTTATAGAAATCAGTTTTCACTTTGTTATTATCATGGTAAATATTATATAGAATATAGTTTAAAAATAAACTAAGTAATAAAACTTAGGATAGCAGAGGATAAGTGATGCAGTAAAAAACAGCATTATGCAGATTATCCTGTAGAAAAAAATTAATCTAATGCTCAATTATCAATCTGCACACGTTGCACTAAATTTATAAATGCATACATTATGTATTGTACTTTTTACCTGAATGTTTTTACTAGAGCGTTTTCTCTTGAAAAGATTGTATCCACTAACAGCTTAGCATCCGCAGATCAAGTTACATTTCTATACAAATGAGCCTGGGTGTACTAAGGAAGTTTTAAATCTGTTCCTACATTGTCACCCAAAAATCGCAGACATACAAGGACAGCTGTATTCAAATTGTTTAACTTCCCCTTAAAAAAACAGTAACATAATTGATGTGTTTTAATATTCTTTGACATAAAAATGAAAACTTTTGATTTTTTGTAGATTGGAACGCCGTCAATTTAATGTCATGTTCATCTGAGGGGTTTAATTATTTCTTTTTTCTTTTTTTTTTACCAAAATATTCTTATGCCAAAGAGGGACGATTATTGTATTAAACACATAAAAGCAATGTTTTACAACAAGAGGCCTTCCTGAACAAGAACACTGAGAAAAAAAAGAAAGAAAACATACAAGCATGGTGATGGCAGCATCATGTTGTGGAGTTGTTTCTATGTCAGTGGTTCTGACCTCAAATCCAAGGCTAAGTTTTTGACAGTTGGGTGTTTCCATAGGGACATAATGATTCCAAGGATAAATTATTATGATGAATTATTGGCTTGTAAAATAACACTGGAATTTGTTTCCAGTTTTGAATTGTAAATTTACCAAAACTAAAGATAACATGAATCTCGATCCAACGGGGACAGAATGGATTGCTGATTTTGCCAAAAGTTTCTTCATTTGGTCTGTTTTGATATAAAGTCAGTTACAAACATCGGCACTGTTCACATCTTCACATGGAACAAGTGTGTGTTGAACATGCACCCAAAGTAAAGTGAGCTTCGCTCCGTGATGAGATTCATGTTTGGTCGGGTTTTCGACTGAGAATCAAATTTAAAGGGACAACCTAAAAACCCTGTATGTTTACTTCACTCATTTTATCAGCAAAAAGCCCAGAGATGGAAAAAAAAAACCCTGAGTTCAGCTACAACCAATCAGCAAAGATAATATGTTTGTTCAGAAGTAACAAGTTATATATGTACTTCCTGTGATAAAAGGCGACTCATCAATGCATGCAGACACTTAAGTGTAGTCAATGCACAGTTCTGTACTGCTAGCAGATTTGCTTTAAGGGAAATCATACTTTACCTCACTTCTCTGCTCATGGCAATAAAGTTGCTACCAATGTAATCAGACGTCAGATATTCACCAAATCTTATCAGATTGAAGGTACAGCTTTGACTATCCTGTCAAATTTTAATGTGTAGATGTTTTTTACTAATACAAAGATCAGATTAATCTGTAATTTCTCTACGAGAGACAGAGACATAGCTCACACGTTATGGTGACCCGGAAGTGAGCCACAAAATTTATGCAAAGCATCGAGGATTGTAGGAGTAAGGTGGAAGTTCTTTTCATACACTTTTACATTATTATACCCTCTATTTTACAGGGTGTTCTAGAGGTAAAACATTGTAATCATAGTGATTATTTCGACCGTCGGAAAACAGACGTGTCACATGTTGGCTGCAGAAATATACATCGGCCCGATGTGAGCACTTTAAACTATCAAACAAAGATACATTTTAAGTTGTTTAACCAAAAGAGAGTCGATTCCAGCATCATAAATTGCCAATTTAGAATCCCACATAACAGTATTTTTTGAACAGTAATAGTATACCATACTTTCTCTACAACACCGTCATTAGGACCAATGCAGATAGAAAACAAAAAAATAAAAGGAGTAAGTCTCCACAAAAAAACTTAGAAATTTTGAGATTAATCTCAGAAATGAATTAGCTTTTTCTACAGAATTCTTGAAATTCTTTGCTGGAAATGTAATCCCTAATACGCCATCATACTTACCTGTATTTTAATGTAATAAAATACAGGCGATAATCTAACATTATCCCCAACAGTGACCGTACAACAGTGCTGTCTGTGTTATTTTCATAGAAACAGTCAGAATGTAAACAAAGCAGTTTATTATTGGCCCAATATGACGAGCGGTCATGTTTAAAATGGAGGCTGGTGAGAAAGCACCAAACTCTTACAGGAGGAATTCAAATTTCATTCAGTTCCACTTCCAAACTAAACATTCGAACTTCCTCCAATGCAGCAGAAACCATTGTGTCTTCTTGTGAATGTTATTGTTTCCTTTGGCATACAGTGGTAGCCTATCAGAAAGCTGCGTTTCCTTTATTCACTGAAAATAAATGCATGCCCAAATTATCATTTTTAGAAATTTAGAGTTGCTGTGGAAAATCACATCAAATTAACCAAGGAGAAAAAGCATTTTACTGATTCCAACCCAAATGAACCAGTTATCCAACAGAACTTAATCTTAGTAAAACAGAGGAGTTCAAATGTTTTGCAAGGTGGATCAAAAATGTCATATTAAATGTACAAAAGGGCCACAAAAATTGTATTTATTTATTTTTTACCTTAAATCAATGAAACAAGCAATACTTTTAGTAAAATGAACAAAATAGACTCAAAGAAATTGGATCTCTAAATTATATGGATCTATAAATGTGAAGTTTTCAGGTTGATGGTTTTCTGTCTTTCTTCAAAAAGTTTTGGTCCAGTCTGATGAATTGATGCACCAAGTAAAAGTTGCTAAATGTTTGTGGACTTGCTTCCTATTCAATTAAATCGAACCCAAAAAGTCCGCAAAGTACAAGAAAAAATACTTACGACCTACCTAAAATTCAGAAGATTTTAATATATCGGCATTGGGGCTAATTTGTATCATTCTTGTTGTCTGGGGCCACACAAAATCATTCCATGGTCCACAAATGGCCCTTGGCCTACACTTTGGACACCACTGCTACAAGCATTTGAGGAGCTAACGTGACAAACTCTTCAAACTATACAGACAGAAGCAAACTTGTCCTGTAGTATAAATCCATTAGCCTCCTTCATTCGTGTACACATGCAGTAAACTACCATGCAGTTATTTTGAAACATAAGTATTATGATGGTACTTACGTATTTCACAATAAGAAGCCTCAAAAACAGGTGGAGTATAGTTACCGGATGAAGCCGTCTTTAAGGCCAACAGCAAGTTTCAGCAAGTCGGAGCGAGGTAGCAAGGACATATTAGCAGCTGGCAAAAAGTAGCTAAAAAGTAAATATAAGAGATTAAATAATTAAATAGTTTGTCCTGCCACGACAAAATTCAAGACCCGCAGGACGGCGCAGTGGCGCGTGCGGCCCCTGTGGGACGGACGGGCCTGTTGACTTTCGCCGCATGTCTTATAACCCACTTTCCGACTATTTCACTGTCAAATGGAGGCCAATGGTGCCAAAAAAGTCCTGTGATTAACGAATTTAATGTCAACTTTTATTTATGAACATAGGACATTTTAAGACTCTAATTTCAGATAAAAAAGAAAGACTTTTTAAGGATATGCAGACACACTGCTAACACATTTCATCTGACTGGAAATGCTAAACATTTTTGAAGTTGTCCTACTTAAAACTTTGCAGGAACCTAAAGATTAGGGTGATTGCAAAAGAGGCTGTTTCAACCTCAAAAAAAAGGTAGAGGACATCCCCAAAATATCCGTAGAAAGATGAAAGAAAGAAAAAAACACCTTGTGTTGGTCTATCACAAAAAAAGATCTAAGAAAACATCTATAAGTTTGTGGTTGTAACATTAGAAAACACAAAAAAGTCCAAGTATATACTTTCTCAAACCCTGACAATGTCCTTCCTTCACAACAGCTTCGTTATAATTTTCTCTTTTGCTTTTTCAGGCCGACTCCTTCCAGAGAACGTCGACGCGGGTCGCCCGGAAGTACTGGTGGAAGAATATTAAAATGATGATCATAATCGGTGTGATTGTGCTGATCGTCGTGATACTCATAATTCTTGCTGCCACTGGTGTCATTTAACCTTTGACCCTGACCCCCCCCCCCCTGAAGCGGAGGAGATCACCACCACACAACTAATTTGCACACATAAAACGTTGTTTTATATCTCACAGATGCGTATGTAAATTTAAATTTAAACAGCGCATGACAATCCATTAAGGTCTCTATGATGATGTAAAGTTGGGGGAAAAAAAAAAAAGAGATTAAATATAATAATTAAGTTTTCTGGCATGAAACCATGACACTCCAGATGAACGCAAAACCAATTTGATTCATGTTCTTCAACAAACACAGACGAGAGCTTTTGTTTGGTTGTTGTTTTTTTTTCTTCTTTTTATTATTATTTTGATCATTTTAATGTCCCATACATCACGTGTATATAATGAACGTTTATGGATGTCAAACTCTGTAAGAATATTTGTATTATATGACTGATGAACACCATAAAGTAGGTAAAACTGTGATCTCGTCTCTTTGCTGCCGTCTCTACAAGCGTTGGTCGGGACGACGTGAAGCAGCGAGAACTTCAAACACAAACCAAGAAAGAACAAGGACGTGAGAAAACCCTGAAGCGATCTAAACGAACGCAAAAACAAAACAAAACAAAAAAAAAACAAAACAAAAAGGACACTGAAATACTTGGGTAAATACAGGAAAAATGTACGGTGGGTTCAAAGCAGTCTTCGTTTTGCTTTCATAAACTAGCCATGTCTTTAGCTGGATCGTCTCTGTGGCCGACACTTTCGCCGCCGAAGCCTGCGGGAAACAAACAGGAACAAGTCAGAGTGGATGAGCGACAAGTCTTCAGCTACTAAAGAAAGACAGGAATCCCCTGTTTTTAATCGGCCTACGTGATAAAAGCAATTATTTTTAACAGATTTACAGCTTTAAAATGTGTATAAATTAAACTAGGGATCCTGACGAAGAAGTCAAAATACTAAATGGGAAAAAAAATTAAATAAAAATACGTTCAGATCGGTCAAAAGATACACATTATGGTGAGAGCATTACATGCAAATTTCTGGAATTGTGACATTTTGATTGAGTTTATGTGTGTGTGTGTGTGTGTGTGTGTGTTTTATCAATGGATATAAGAAGAAAATATGTTACAGGAAAAATTAACAAAAAAGAGGAGTCTTTTCCATCGCTGTCAGTAAAACAAAAACAAGAACAATACATTTACACAAATTAAAAGCACTTTATCCCCCAACACAGTAGAGTCCAAACCAGGTTTAAGCTCATGGACTACTTTAGCTAAATAAAGAAACAAGCAATTTTAAGAGAATACATATGTTAACATTAGGAACTGGAAAATCCAGAGAATGACGAATGTATCCTTTAGGAAAGCAAATCGTTATTTATTCATACGTTATCAATCGTTACTTGTGGGGGAGTAAGGGCCTGTGAAAAAACCACAATTACATGTGTAGATTTTTAACTTCTTACATTACAAAAGACAGTCGCAGAAAAAATATATATAGATATATATTTATAAAAATAAATAAAGGAAACAAATGGAAAGAAAGATGACAAAGCTGGACGTGTCCCTTAATTTTTTTTTTTTTTTTTTTTTAAGATTAGAAATGCGGATACAGGATGTTGTAAGACCATACCAAACGGCAGCATTCGAGAGCGTATGCTTCTCATACCCGGTCCGCATTGAGCGGGCCCTGAGAGTATCTGGGAGTCAGCTCATGGCCTGCAAGGAAGCTCCGCTGGCAGGTACAAACAAGGTATGTCAGAGTTAGGACACAACACACTCTTTCTTTTTTTTTTTTTTTCCTTTTTCTGTTTTCCTTTTGCACATCCTTAACTTTGGCATCCATTTACTGTAGTAGCAGTAGTTTACCTGTTAACTTTACAGTTTAAAACGAAGAAAAATAAAATCAACAACAACAACAACAAAGAGAAGGTTGCAAAAAAAAAAAAAAAAAGAGGCAGCGGAAGATTCGGCTGCTCTTTAATAATCGTCACAAGAGCCTTTTACGTTACCACTACTGTAAAGCACTTAAGAAGAAAACCAGAAAGAACAAAAAAATTACACAAATATTATAAAAACACCAAAGTTTTTTTTTTAAAAAAAAAAAAAAAAAAACTAATTGAAGTTTTTTTTTTTTTACAGTGCTTAGTATGCAGTTGGGGGTACGTACCTACTTGGAGGGGGACGGTTTGTCCCTTTAATACGGTTTGTAACTGTTGGTGTGACCACCACGCCGTGGTGACTTCCCATATCCACCAGACTGATCTGCAACAGCCACAAACCGTGTCACACCGCGTTGCCTTGGCAACGGCAATACATGCGTCTGTATATCCTCAAATACTCACTGTTGTAGTCAGTATATCCATAATAATTGTTGCAACCAGAGTAATCATAGCCTCCATAGCCACCATATCCTTGATTACCATAACCATAATTTCCATAATTCCCATATCCCTGATTCCAGTAGTTACCATAACCCTGGTTCCAGTTTTGGTTGGGACCTGCAGACAAACAACACAGACTACAATGTATTAATATAAAATCATCTACATGTTTTTTTTGTTGTTTTTTTTGCCTGCCAAACTTCAAATATTAACTTTATTTTAGCAACAACTAAAACAGATAATAAAAGTTTTTATTTTTGCTGTGGCTCTGCTGAAATTCTGTTTCAACCACATCATTTGACAATTTAAGTGTAAAAAAAAGAAGATTTATATTACAAAGCATGACATTCAGAATAGTATAAATAGGAATAATAGGTGCTGTCACTGGTTCATTTAAGCAATTATTCCGTTCTCATGACAGCAAATTCTGCCGGACGATACATTTCCCCAGAAATTATCGTGATAATCAACAACATTGTTGCTTTGAGAACATGTTCAAGTAAAATGCCGTTAATGGCAAAAATTATGCAGGTTCGCCCTCTTAACAACTAATAAGCTTTAATTTTGCTCCGAACATTTAGCAATGGAACATCTTAAATTTCAAAAATAAGACAATAAATTAAAAAAAAAAGAAAAGAAAAACCACACGGAACCAAAACCATAAGATAAAACGGACTATGAAACCTCTGTAAAAAAAAGTTTATCTTCAAAAATGATTAACTATGAGATTAGTTCTCATAAATCTGTTTTGGGTCATGTGCTGCTTTTCTGCTCCATTCCCTGAACTGACCACCAGGTGGAGCTGGAGGTCTGCCGTGAGAAACTCACCCCCTCCTCTCCCTCTAGACCTGGACGAGTATCCTCCTCTGCCTCCCCAGTACTGCTGCTGCTGGTACTGCTCCTTGGACACGGCCACCTTCACCTCACACTGAGGGAACCAATCACACTCATTTATTGTACCTTTTAAAGACGCTGCTACACAGGTATTTATGGAGCTACAAGGAAAAAAGAAAAGAAAAAAAAAGACAGATGGAACCTTGCTGAGCCCGATATTGTGGTACTTTTTCTCCATGATCATCTTCACTGGTTCCTCCTCCTTGAAGGTGATGAAGCAGAAGCCCCGCCGCTTGTTCGTTTTGGTCTCCATGGGAAGCTCGATGGACTCCACCTGATTATTTTACAGCACGGACATGGCATTCAGTGGGCTTAAGAAAAATAACATGGGAACATTTGTAATTTAGGAAACCACAAACCTCTCCAAAGGCACCGAAATACTCTCTGACTTTCTCTTCGGGCGTGTCTGGGGACAGCCCCCCTACAAAGATCTTCTTCACAGGCTCCTTGCTCTTCATGGCCTTTGCTTTTTTGGGATCAATCACTTTCCCGTTGAGTTTGTGTTCCTTCTGTGAGGCGACCTTCATGGAAAGAAAGCAAATAGAGCAACAGAGAAGAAATAGAGCATTTAAAGGCGTGTTTAACATATGAACCACTTTAAGAAAACACCAAATACATTAGACTAATATTATAGCAGAACTGTGGCTGTATTATCAGAAAAAAATAAATACAAAGAAAATAAATGCAACAAAAAAAAGCGCTAAATGAAAAATGAGCTCCAGTAATGTGTCCTCCACTGCAAAGAAGGTATAAAAACATCTTAAGACATTTCCATTGTGAAATATTTCAAATACATGACTTTGCTGATTAGGTTTTTGTTCAGGTAAAAATTAATACTGGATGTGATGCGCTACACCCAAACATTAAATCTCATTAACACCAACAGTAAGTCCAAACTACGCCTCATAGAAGTGTAAAAAAAAAAAAAAAAAAGAAAAATTAATATTCAGCTTTACAAATTTAACATGTACAAAAGAATTTCTAGAAAAGCGCAGCCTCCGGCAGCAAATGGATACCTTTTCAACGCTTTCTGGATTTTTAAAGAGCACAAAGCCGAAGCCCCGTGAGCGCCCGGTCATAGGGTCCAGCTTTAACGTGCAGTCCACCACCTCCCCAAACTTTGTGAAGTAATCCTTCAGGTCCTTCTTGGTCGTGTCCCAGCTGAGCCCTCCAACAAACATCTTCCTGTTAACAGAACAGTTCACTTCCTTTAGTGCTGCACTGTTTACTGTACCTCAATTGTAATTACATTAATAATAATGTAATTGCGAAAGGCAAAGTGGATAGTAATGCAATAAATATGGTTGTAGCAATGTGACTTTGTAATGTCAGAAAATCCTAGTTTGTATATTGTAGAAATAATAATTTTCTTCTGGCAATTTTATGACTTTGACTGATTTTCCTATCATACATATTCTTAAGGAGCAAAACAAGTCCACCCATGCACCGTGAAGACAAACTGTTGTATGTAAAGCTGTACAAAACACTAGTTTTTGGATTTTATTACAAACACAGACACTTTGTTTTTTCTCCAGACATGCTTAGGTGCCAGCAGAAAAAAAGTTGGTCATTAGGAATCCGAATAGGTGACAAACTATGACATACTGCTCAACTAGATTAACATATTATAAACAGTAAATATGAGTCGAGTGACCGTAAACATACCCTTCATCCTCCTCATTTTTACTAGCATCAATTTTCGATCCGTCGGCCTCTCCTCCCATCAGGCCACAGTCCCCAGAGGCGGACATGGGATCGTCACAGTTGCCCTCCCCATCCTCCTCCATTCTCATCATGCTCGGGTCTTCGCTGAATTCATAATCTTCCGACATGTCTCGAGTTTATCAGCACCTGCTTCCAACGAAAGTGGCTCCAGAAAGGGACACAAAACAATACAATGCGAGAAGGAGCTAAGCTAACGGTAAAGCTGACAGCTAGAGGCTAGACAGGCAATTTATCATCAAGTGTGCTTACAGAAAAAAGCTGGTCCCTATCAGGCGTTCAAAATCGGCTTGAAAAAATCTATTGCAATCTAAAGTAAAATAAACGGATTGCGTTTCAGAAGGAAAGAGATAGAGTTTCTATAAATTTAAGGGTTAATTTCTGAGCGTCGTTTTGTTTTCATCGCAGTAACTCCTTCTTCTGCGCTTTCCAAACACGTCAGTAAACAAAGTGAAATGTTGAACAGCGCCATCTATCATTTTGGAGTGTTTAACGGAAACACTCCGTTGAACAGTTTAATTATTGAATACAATTAGTAACATATATATATATATATATATATATATATATATATATATATATATAAAACAATAATATCAGAAAGAAATCAGCTGTCTTTCTATAAACAAATACAGTAAATAAATGTCAGAATAAATAAAGAAGAGAGTTACAAACTCTGAGTCTTATGTTGATTAGCATATCTATTTGAAAGATTATCTAACAATAATAATAATAAATGATGTCAAATATAACTGTTTCATCATTACAATGATAATGTATAAGCATAGGGCGCACTTCTAGTCGGACTACAAACGAGACGTCATAGTGCCCGTCATATTGTGCGCTCCAGTTTGGTGAAGAGAAGCCCAAAGAAGTTTACTTTTAGTGTATTTCAGTGGATAATTTTGTATACAGTATTGCATGCTCATTTTAGTGTTAAAAACACCGTTAATTGACAAACACAACAAAACACTTGAGCTAGTTTTAACCTTAAATAATACAAACGCACATAAATATATTAGGGGTTACTACCAAGTTATTTAACTTTATTTTTTCTGTTAAAATATTGCTGAAAGTAACGTTTTATTATTTTACTAAAAATAAAAATAACATAGCTAAATGTCGCTTTCCGTCAGCTGTAAGCGGGAAATCATGATTATTAACAGGAATAAATACTTGAAAACATAACCCTGTGTATTTAATCTATATTATATTTCACTAGACAGACAGACAGACAGATAGATAGTTTACAAAATACCACTCACAATATGGCGTCTACTTTGACGTCAAAGGGCATAATATCGCCACCTGCTGGATTGGATGCTGAAGTGACAAGAGCAGAACATGTGAGCTGGTCACAGCTTTGTGCGGTAGCTAACTGCGGGGCAATGGCGTATTCAATCAGTTAGAGGTAAACCACTGGCGGTGTTTTGTTGCTAAACTCTACCGTGTCCCACCTGTCCGGCCCGGAGAAGCGGGAAGAGAGGGGCGCTGCTGGGCTGTAACATAGTACTGCTGCTGCTAGTTTAGCTAACATCAGCTAACCCACTACCAGCGGTTAACGCTCGGGTCAAAAATGGCCTCGGTTTCAATTCCTGCCTGCACCACTGCACTTTTACTGGACATCGAGGGAACCACTACTCCAATCACGTTTGTTAAGGCGAGTTGAGTTTTGTTTGTTTAAATCTACAGTCTTGTTCAAAGAAGATTGAGTTGTTGTGCTTACAGCTTTCTGGTATCGGCTATATCATAGTAAAACATTGTTTTTCGGTCAAAATAACCAACAAATGTCTTTATATTTCGTGTTTAGCTTTCCTGCTTTTATTGTTTGCTCAGAAATCATACAGATCCCTGATGCTAGCTTCACGTTCTACGACAAGTGACGTAAATAACGCTTTCCTCTTGTGGTGAAAGTCGACGTCATCAACCAAGCCCCTTTTAGATTGTTTTCCTTTTTTTGTTATTTTACCCAGTCACGTCAGTTGCCATGGAAATTGCCAATTGTCTTTGTACCATAATATTAGATCCATTATAGGTCTTAATTTTTCTAAAAGAAATGCAAACAATTAACTTTCTGTATTGGTGATTTTATTATTTTTTTCAGGACATACTGTTTCCTTATATCAGAGAGCACCTTGAGGATCATCTGTCCACACACTGGGAGGAAGATGAGTGCAAACAAGATGTCCACCTGCTCAAAAAGCAGGTGTGTTGTTATTACACTGAGAACCACTGGAGATCTGGAAAACACTCAGCGGCTGAACAGAGCAGGAAGTGCTGATGGCTCTCCTGTGCTTCGATCTAACTTGACCCTCTAAAAGCCCGGCGTGTCTTTTCAGATCGAAGAGGACATGAGGCAGAACCGGGCATGTCCCGTCCACACCGTGGACCAGACCGTCCACACGGACGAGGAGAAGGCCATCAGGGAGGTGGTGGAGAACGTGATGTGGCAGATGGCGGCGGACAGGAAGTCCACGGCGCTCAAGCAGCTGCAGGGCCACATGTGGAGGGCAGCCTACACATCCGGGAGAATCAAAGGCGAGTAAGTACGCCGATGTGTTCGCTCTCTTCCCAAGATTTAAAAATGAACTTTTTTATTTCTTTATTTTTTTTTTTTAAATAACTACATCTCTTGACGATGTCATGTGTGTGTGTGTGTGTGTGTGTGTGTGTGTCCATTTGGAACAGGATCTACCCCGACGTGGTGCCGTCCGTCAAAACGTGGCGGGAGCGCGGCCTGAAGGTTTACATCTACTCCTCTGGCAGCGTGGAGGCACAGAAGCTCCTGTTCGGATACTCAGTGGAAGGAGACGTTTTAGACGTGAGCCGCTCATCTAGATTTAACGGGGGTTTTGCTTCCACGAAGTTCGGACCGACATGTTGTCCCAACCGTTCCGATCCTGTGTGTGTGTGTGATTTCAGCTCTTTGACGGCCACTTCGACACCACGATAGGAGCCAAAGTGGACTCAAAGAGCTACGAGAGGATCGCCGAGCGGATCGGCTGTCAGCCGGAAGAAATCACCTTCCTCACCGACGTCAGCAGAGGTGAGTCGCGCTTCACCGCGTTGGACCGGAGGAGCCGGTTACGCTGGCTTCCTGTGTCTGCTCTGCTGCTCCAGAGTCACAACGGCTCTGAGAAACGTTGACTAAAAACGATTAAGAAACAATTGAAGTTTAAAAAAAAAAAAAAAAATTTATAGAACTGCAAATTCAGATTTGAGCTAATTTCCAGTTTTTCATGGAGTGATTCTATTTAATTTCATTAACAAAATGACACTAAAAGTACCAATCAATTTATTTACAACAATTTTTCTTAATATTCTGGAAACTTTTAGCAAATGTCAACATTTAATAAAAGAAAATGTAGCCGTCATTTTTTAAAAAAGGTTTTATTTACATTAAAACCTAAAAAGATAAATAAAATAGTTGCTATATAAAAATTACAGCAGATTTCCTGTAGAAGGTATTTACCAAAATTTTTTATTTTTTCATAGTGAGGTAAGTTGTTTTATTTATCTGGACTGACATGACAAAAGTGTCTCTTTGGATTGTAGTAATTTTTGTCAAGGTGAAAACCAAATATTTCTAATAATTTCTCTTCACTATGTGACTACGCTGCTCTCGTACCGATACCAGACTAGGAGTCAGATTAAGAGGCTTCAGGTGTTGTTATGTTTAGATCTACAGTGGGATCCGTCCAAGTTCACGTTGAAAAACTCTTGACTGTGTCGTAAACGTTCGGTCAGCTGTCGTCGTATTCAGGCTGGAGAGCGAACTGGCCTCGCGGCGAAAGCTCGTGTCAAAACGTCCTCACCCGTGGTTTTGTGGTTGCAGAGGCCAAAGCGGCGGAGGAAGCCGGGCTGAACGTCCTGCTGGTGGTTCGGCCCGGAAACATGGAGCTGACGGACGAGGAGAGCGCCCACTACAACCTCATTACCTCCTTTAGTCAACTTCAGCTGACGGGGCGAGCTTAACGCTGACGCAGTCCGCTTCTCCTCTACCACCCCTGACTTTCTTTTTTTTTTTTTTTTTTTCCTCTGGGGTTCTTGATTTTGACTGTTGGCAGGAACTGGGACTTTTTATTAATTTTTTTTTTTGTTCACTGTATGGCTAATTATGTAGCCTTGAATAAGTATTCCTCTTCCTCAGACGTTTCCACATTTTGTCATTTGCCACAACTACAAACTTCAGCTTATATATATATATATATATCTATCTATCTATATATATATATATATATATAGACCAACAAAAAGTCATGCATAGTTGTGATGAAAATGAGGTACATGATTAAAAACATTTTTATTGACCAAATCTTTGCTGTGGCTCTTGGGCTCAGTCAGGTGAACATGATGCTGCCACCTCCGTGGAGATGTTTTCAGAATGGTTTGCATTGTTGCTCTTTAAATTTTTTTTTTTTTTTTTTAAAGTGAAGGCCCAACAGACCTTTAAACATCTATAACATCTTTAAACATCCTGTTTGTTCTCTAACGAACCTGTGACACTTTCACAGAACGTCTGGATTTCTCCGTCTCTACAGGGAGATACTATGAATGCAAACTCAGTCGTCGTTCTTGCAATTTTCACCAATCGTTGCAACTTGTCTGCAAATCGAACCAATTGCTTCATTTTAAGTTTCATCTTTTTCTGACCGACCGCTGCAACTCTCCACCTTAAGCTAAGACGAGTTAACCCTTACAATTCTGTCATATTAAACTTGTTGCTCGTCAGTCATTCCTTTTTCGTTTCTCTACAGAAGTCGGTTTTTTCTGAGAAAGGAAAGATTACAACTTGAGAAAATCAGAGGAAAGGGAAGGTTATGTGCAACATTAACATTTTTTACAAGACCATGTAAAAAATTGAAAATAAAGCTTTAAAAAAATCACAAATTTATGTAAAAGGTGCTGCAAAATAATTCCACTTTACTATTATTTGCACCTTTTTTTTGTTGGTCTATTCCATACAATACATAGAAGTTTGACAAAATGTGGAAAAGCTGAAGACTGTTTGCTTGGCGTTTTGTATCCCTGAAATCACGGCAGGAATGCCGCCTTCATTTGTACAGAGTGATGTAACGACCTGAAGCGGGAGGTCGGTGTCATGGCAACCCGAATGGGACGGTGAGACTGTGGATAGGTGCTGTACAATCGCAGAAACTGTGAGGTTACTACTTGACGTTTGAACCGTGTGTCTGACTGCCACTTTCCAGCTGTTTGTGTACGAGCGTGATGTAACCGTTCCCATTTTGTAAAACGTCGTCTGCCTGTGCGACTACGAGACGCGCTTCAGTCGGGACCTGTAGTCGTGTTTTAGAGTGTAGAAGCGCTCCGCCGCGGCGGAGTGAAAGTCTTAACTCAACCCCGCCTCAGGCGGACAGTGTCTGTCTTAACGTGTGCCATGTGTGTGTCGTCTGTAACGGAGGAGCGAAACGATGCTGGAGTGACGATCAAATGTGTAAACGGAGTCGGTACTAATCCAGAAATAAACACCTTTTCTCTCACACAAGACGCCTGCGTCTCTTTAGTTTGAACAGTTTTAAAATGAAACTATGAAAACCATTTATTTTGTTTATTTGACAAGACTCTGGGTATGCTATGATTGAATATCTAAACTTTTACTAGCAGGAAACTGTCGGCATCTTCGTCGACAGTTTCGGCGAAGTTGCTAAGAGCAACTAATTAGCTGTTAGCGGAATGAGCTTTTAGCTAACAGCTACTCAGTGTCATTGTTATAAGTAGGGGATACATAAAATTTTGTATGAACCAGGTTTAAACAGAGACACAGATGTACAATAAAGAATAAAAGATTCCATCTTATTTCACTCGGACACTTTTTCCTTCCACTCAACTTTCTACCCTATCTAATATGCTTGGATACATCAATGGAACATCCAGCTTTAATAACTTTTTGTGGTTTTCTCCTCAACGTGGAAGGTGTCGGTTACTTATTTTTTTATTCGTCTTATGTATTTAACACTCAGAATTAGTAAAACAGATTTTTAGTTTTTCGTAGCTGTAAGCCAGAATGATTGAAATAAACATCTGAAATATTTCCCTGCTGAATTGAATGAACCTTTCACCAATATGACAAATGCAGAACAAAAGAGAATAGAAATAAAGTACAACACTGTAGTAGTAACATACATTCTTTTAATTGAAAATAAAGGTACACATTGTTTCTGTCATGAAAATCTCAACTTATTAACAGAACACTTTCCAGCTTTAAAAATTGAAAATAATCCTTTTGTTTGGCATCCCTTCCAGTTTGGTGGTGTGATATTTTTACCAAAGCTAATCCAGTCACATGTTGACTTCCTATAACAAGGAGGTCAACATTTTCAAAGGATTCAGTCCAGAACCTCATTGCCTAATGAGTTCTACTTTTCCTCTGTCTACTTGTCCACAGTTTCACACATTATAATCCAATAAAAAATTTTAGAGCTCACACATTGTTCTTTAACCCCGTGTCTCCCCGTTTCAATGATACCAAACCACCAAATGGTTTGGTATCTCTATTCTGTGATACATTTAATAAAATCCAGGCTCAGTTCCTGACTTATTTAATTTATTTTCCCACACTGTGATTCAGCTGTTGCATTGATTCAATCTGATTTATACAAGCCAGCCTGTCTGCCTTCCATCATTGCAGGATCGTGGTGTCACACACAGCTTAGCGGTGATCAGCACCAGTTAGAAAAAATAACCAAACTTTCTTCGATGTAGACATGAAGCTGTATCAAGTATCTTATTAAAACATCTCAATATATCATGTGTGTGTGTGAAACATTAAAACAAAGCATAACATTGTAACATGACATTGCAACCAACTTGAATAGTGAGATATGTTCACCATCTGCAGGTGTTCAAACACAAGACCTTGTGGCACTCCTATAGCTCTGGCTCCAGCTCTTTGCCATCGGGATAGCCATCAGGATCTTCACGGCAATCTTTACGCTCCACCGTGTCTCTGCACACCACCTCAAAGCGGCAGTGACGAAAGTCGATGGCAAAAGTGCTGATGTATATGAGGAAGAGCATGACCACGGCCCACTGGCAGCGAACCGTGTGCATGTGGGGGATAACAACCAGGACTGCATCGGGAGAGTCAAGGATGAAGACGGGAAGGCAATAACTGAACATTAAATCTCATAAATATAACATTAAGACCAAAGGCAAACAGTGGTGGGCACAACACTTCTGCTAATGCGCTAATAGCGGAGCTAATTTTTGGTTTAGTGCTTTAGCCCTTTTAATAATTTGGAAAACATTTACCCCACTTAGGTTCTCCTACATGAATTTTTCTAAATTTACTTGGCTGTTGTGAAAACTACTGTTTAGTTTAAGTGCTTCTGAGTTAGCCTGACTAACTTTTTAGTTAGCGACGCCCAACACTGGTAAACAAAAAAGAATCCTAGAACATTTTTGCTAATAATCAACAGGCTAATTAATGTCCTCCAAATAAACCATTCTCTGTCTCAGGTCAACAAATTGGAGCTAAGAAGTGTAATTTTTTTCTCACTATAGACACGTTGCATGTTATGGTTTACATCTGGCAACACAATGCTGGAGGGCAAAAAGACTTATTTTACTTGCCCCCCATAGCTGCACTGTCACGGTAGAACAACTCCATTAAAATAATAAAACCTGGAGATGTAGGTATTATTATTTAGAGTAGTCCACCAAACAAAGGGAAAATAACTCAAAAAATGTTGAAGAATAACTCAAAACCACCTCTTTTTTTCTTACTCTTTGTGTTGCCTGCACTACATGCAGATTTGTTGCCATTAGCTACCATAGCGTTAGCTAATCTGCCACAGCAGTAGATTAGCACAGTGGTGTTTGATTAGCTAATTTAAACACCTACTACACCAGATTTGGTGTGTAGGTCGCCTTTTTTTTTATTTTGTAACTGAACCGAAACACACAAAGCTTTGCACCATACCTTCATGGTAAGGTTGTCAAAGTCAAGCTAACATAACTGATATACTTCCTTTCCTTTGCTGCTTTAAAAGTCCAATTTTTAAAACAGAGTCGGTACTCTGTTTTAAAAGTACCGTCAACTAGAGAACAACTTGTTCTCTAGTTTTAATGTTGACAATTAGTAGCAAAGCACTGCGTCCCTTTTTCTGTCATGTGTCACACATACATTTAGGATTTAGCGCATTATGTTGACAACTTGATAGCTAAAACCAATGGTTGTCATCGTCGGCTAGCAGGATTTTGCCCTCCAGCAGTGAGTTGGGGGGCAGGATCTTTGTGATGTCACGGTGCAACGTGTCTATAGGCAAGAAGGCAAATATGGAAGAAGGTACTCTGGACAGATTAGATCTATAATGAACCTTTTGGAATTTGCTTCTAAAACACTACGTGTAAAGGAAAAGAAACTAAACCCTGAACACACCATTCCTACAGTGAAAGATGGTGGTAGCAGAACCACACTTTTCCTCAGCAGAGACATAGGTGACAGGAAGATGGATGTAACTGAACACAAGACAATCCTAGAAGAAAACCTGCTAGAGGTTGGAGAAGACCTGAGACTGGGTCGAAAGTTTTCCTTTACCTGGTACTTCCTGTTGTCAGAGTGAAAGGATACCACGCTGCAGTATAATGCAGAAGGTGATGGCTGCAGACAGCACCACACGGCCGATAGCAAAGACCTTCCCCTGGTTGTTCAGGTTAACTTTCCAGGTGATGTAAGACTGAAGCCAGCAGTACAAGTTGCCCAGTCCAAACGCCAGCAACGTGCCCCCGTTATGAATCACCCACATCTCAAGGAGCTACAAAAACAGACGCGAGTCAGTCTGTCACAGTCCGGATTTGAAGTTCATTTCTTAATGATCAGCGGTTACCTGGAAGTTTCCCACAATCGTCATCCCAAAACAGGCGACGGAGAAACACACCAGACTGAAAATGTTCAGCCACCGCTTGTCTAGTTTGGTCTTCACCTGAAAGTACCTGAGGATGCCCACGACAAATGCTGAAACAGAGGATTGGTAAAAGCCAATCATGATCAGAAAATTCACTCGAAATAGAACAACTAGGATTTTCAAAGTATTCAAACTTTTATATATTTTGCCAAACAACAACCAAAAACATTAATATATTTAATTGGGATTTAATGTGAAAGAGTGACACAAAGTCTTGTACAATCAGGAAGCAGAAAGAAAATGATACATGATGCTACACATTTTGTTTTGCAAATAAAAAACTGAAAAGTGTGGCTTCCTCCCACAGTCTAAAAACATGACTGTCAGATTAATTGGTCTCCCTAGGTGTGTGTGTGTGTGTGTGTGTGTGTGTGTGTGTGTGTGTGTGTGTGTGTGTGTGTGTGTGTGCGCGCGCATGGTTGTTTGTCCTGTCTCTGTGTTGCCCTGCGACAGACTGGAAACCGTTCAGGGTGAATGCCCGAAATAGGCACCAGCACCCCTCCTGACCCCACCAGGGACAAGGGTGTAAAAAAATGGATGGATGCAGTGTGCAAAAGCATTCAGCCTCTTTTGTTCTCTGAGTGCAACCAATTGCCTTCAGACTTTGCCTGGTGACGCCTGACGCCATCGGCCTGGACTTTGTAATGTGAACGGCGTTTCTTTACCTGCGAACGCTGTCAGGTTCAAGATCTCACTGAAGTAGCAGCTGGCTGGGGGGAAATTCCCTGTGAAGCTGATAAAACACAAAGTATGATAAAATAACACCAAGCAGCTCCGGCTTCACTGTTAAAAGGAGAATGTAGGACAAGTGCAGTGAGTACCTTATGTAGGGAGGATATGCAGATCCATTTCCCTTTCTAGAAAGAAAAAAAACAAAAACAAAAGAAGATCTTGTTCCAGGGCTGCGCTGAGTAAATGTTGGTTGTCCCTCAGAGAGGGTAAGTGGTACCTGTATGCTGAGGTCAGAGGCAGCACTTTCCCGTTGTGGCGAGCTATGAAGTACCTGTTTGAGGGCACAAGGTGGACGAACAGAAGCACAGAGGCGTGTTAAGAACAGGATGCGCTGCAGAGGAGGAGAATCCACCATTCAAAAAACGTTACATTTTACTCGGCTTTTACCAGCAAAAAAACCAAAACAAAACAAAGTCAATAAAAACAACCGATCTGCATTTTAACTAATGCTGCGTTCACACCAAACGCGTTTGGAGCATTTACGTTCAAAGTCTATGTGGAGCGTCGGACGCGTTCAAGGCGTCAAAACGCTCCAAACGGCTCAAATGGCGCCGGCCCTCAACACGCCTCCACATAGGCTTTGAATGTAAACCAGACGCGCCTGAAGCTTCGAACACGTTTGGTGTGAAGGCACCATTAAATTCACAATGAAGAATGGTATGTTGGAAATGATTTGTAGCGTTTTCAGTCATCAACATAATATTTTCCTTTCTTGGTATTATGATAATCAAACCCTCCTTCTAATTGTTAAACAGGCTTTTGGTGTGGATGTTGGTATTTATGATGATCTATGTTTGGTGATGAGCTCTGTGAGGATGGAAACACTCCTTGCCATCACCCTAATCTGTCCACAGATTCTCCATCAGAATAACATCAAGACGTTGATTTTTACCCCGATCACACAAAGCATGTCAGTAAAAGTAAAATATTTCTTTAAAATTAAATCTAGGAATATGAACACTGTTGGACTTAAAATGTTTCCCCATTTCTTAATAAATATAAAATTGATATTAAGGAAATGAAGAGTGCATTTATTAATGGTAGTTCACGGTTGTATATTTCTGTTTTATGAATTCATTAAAGGTACAGATTTTTTTTTACACATCCTGCTTACAGTTTTGATTGTCCAACTCAAAAGCACATTAATAAACTATTGATGAGTCGTGTTGATTCTTGAGTTGTTGTTTTTTTGTCCAATCTCTATTTAATGTTTAGGCATTAACTCTTTAATTTTTTATTTATTTTTTTTCTGAATAAAAGTCAGAAAGAGGTTGAACTTACACAACCCAAAGTCCAGCAGCAGTAAACGTGGAGAGGATGGGAGGCAAGAGGACCAGCGGTCGGCACCACCACATGTTCTCCAATCTGATGTCACACACACAAAAACACACACACAGCATTACTTCACAGGAAGACAATGAGCTCTTTGTTAGCTTTAAAGCACAGAAAGCACATAAGCAAATAAGGGTTTATATCATCTTCAGTTTTTCCATTTCTAGTTGTCTGTTTTATTTTCATGCACAAATACACATTCATATATATATATATATATATATATATATATATAATCTTTCTCAACTGTACATTTCTTTAATGCCATTTTTAAATTGCTGCACAGTCTTGTTTTTGTCTTATGGTGTAAATTTGCTGTTTTTCTATTCATTTTGTACTTTTAATGACACACGATTAGTTAGAGGTAGAAGGATTACGTCAAGCAAAAACAAACTAAAAACAAAACACAAAAAGTGTGCTACTTTTTAATTTATAATGGAATTTCCCAAATTAAAGCAGGATAAAAATAAAAAAAATATATGGTACAAATATAGACATACACACCAAATAAAAACCGTCCTTAGCATCAAGGGTCTGTTTTTACAGGTAAAAGCAACATGTAAAAACCTCTCTAACCCTTTCATGCATGAATTATGATGCTTTATGTCAAGATTTATTTTCCAAAGTGTTTTTGATTTTCCTTGAAAGCATAACAAAAGGCAGGAATATTTTTTTATATAGGTGATCAGTTCTAATTTTCTCCAAATACAAAGTTGTTATTTGGAAAATACATCAGTAGTATTAGTCCTTAGGGGAAACTTTATTTTATTTATTCATTCATTTTTACCTGCAAGAGTCCTCTGCAGTAAAAACGGGATATTCCTGTGTTGCTTTTTCGTCTGTCTGCCATATTGGATTTAACAAAAATTTTCTTGCACTTGCACTGGATGCCCAGTAGTAGCAGTGTGTTGTATGACGCACTCATGTCCACTTCAGTGGTCTGTGTGCATTTATAACATAAAAATCCACAAGAAACACAAGAAAATGGCTTTTAGGTAGCTGACCACTGCAGTGACATCGAAGAACATCAGACCGACACATTAGCTGAATGTTCACAACTTCTCAAACATGCTACACGCTTTTTTAATGCTCAGTAACAGCTCAATCCAGCAGCAGCAATCAAAGGAAATCAAACTTGAATCTAACACACCTTTCCCTAACTCCTGAAACTGAGAACACTAGAAAGAGACTTTGAACCTCAGTACCGGCCTGATGATGGATGATGAAGGCCTGCGTCCCTGCAGGTCTGATGAGCCTTTAGCTCGGCTCCGGGGTTCTGGTGCTGGAAGAGTTCCAAGTTAGAGCTGCAGTCTTTGGAGATCTTTGGGGTGATTTCCTCAAACACACAGCAGCTCTGTGGATCCTCTTCACCTCGGCTCAAGGCCTTTTTATTCTGTTCAGATGTAAGTGAACTGACTGCTCAGACGGAAAGAACACGTTGCTCTTCTCTGCAGGAGACGGTAAGGGTTCTTCGCTTGAGAATGCTGTCCACCTTCTCTTTTTCTGTCTGCTACCAGAGATCCTTTCCTTTAATTTCACTTTAAATAACGGCAGTTTTGAAATGAGTTGAATTAAATACTTCAGTTCCTTTAATTTCCCTTCAAGTATTTTTTTAAATTGAGCTGAATTGAATGCATCTCTTCTTAGAAATGTTACATCTTCCTCTTTTTTTTTGCAATGAAATTAATTCTTAAAATAAATTTTAGGGAAGATAAAAGCAGGATAACATTAAGCTGATTATGTTTGAACCTGAGCTGCTGCTATTCAACCATTAAACTTGGTGAAAGGAAGTGCGTTTCCTTGCAGCTAATGAAGGTTCTCCTCATATCTGGAGTGACAGTTTCGCTGTGACCATATTTTAACACTTAAATTGTCGAAAAATACTGAGAGAAATGTATTCTACCGCTAAATAACACATTGAGGAAGTCAGACATAACAACGTCACAAACGCGTCCCGACACGAAACGGCGCGTTCCTCCGTCCTAAAGCAGGACGGTGAAAGCTGGTGTTTTACTGTGTGAGGCCTTACCTGTCCGTGGGTTCGGTGGGTTCAGTTTAATAGGAAATGACCTCTAAAATGACCTCTCTCCTGCTGATATTTGCTGATGCTTCAGCTGCATTCAAACCGGACGGTTTGAATGGACGGAAACAGAACCAGGCTGCTCTCGGGCTCCACACCCCTCTGCCTAAATATGTTGTTTTTATACAAAAAGAAGAAAGTCTGCATAGTGATGGCACAGAATCGTTTCTGATTGGCTCATTTGTTTTTTTATAGCAGGAGCCTCTTGAAGTGAAAATGAAGGACGGAAAACACTGAACCATGTTTGCCTCATGATGCCTTGTGGTGTTATAGAGTAAAACCATGATTTTTTTATGATTTAAAATAAATTTACTTTTTTTATTGACGTACATTGAAGCAATAAATGATTTTCCCATTACAATCCAATGACTGTATATCAAATGCTAACATATACATTTTACATAAAAAGTATAACTATAGAGTTTATTAGACTCAATAGTGATTTTACATGTGCTTCTTCATAATTTTGAATAAACCAGACAGAACACAGTGGCCATGGCTCCAAATCTATCGCTGATTACTGGAACTCCAGACTGCACTAAGTTATTCATATTCCTGCGCTGACATAGATTTAAGATTATTTATTGTATCGTTACCATGTATTTTTTTTTACTGTGATGTAAAATAATTTTAATTTAAAAAAAATCACACAAGCAATTCTATTAAACTATAATCTCACTAAACATTAAGATTATTTTTTTTAAATTAAACTAATAAGTTTGCTTCTCCTCTTTATCGAGACAGGCTTCTCACAAAAGATAATGTAAAATAAGAATCATTCCTGAAAGACAAGTTTATTCATATTTCATTAATAAAGTGATTTTTTTTATTTTTAGCTAATAGGAAAACCTTTTTTGATTTTTCCTTTTACATGATCCCACTGGTGGTTTTAAGGTTTATTTACTTACTTTTGCCATCAACCTAATTTTTAGCCGAGACTCATTATTCTGGTGGCAACTTCAAAACATTATTTCCAGTTGCTCAAACAAAAAAAAAAAAACAAAAAAAATAGAGCAGTTAAAACAGAAACAAAGGCATAAGGTAATTTGTAAATAAATACTATTTATTGAAAATATTGCCTGGAGTCGGTCAGAAACAAAAAGACTTGTTTTCTCCTAGAACAGGAAGTGAGGTCGACCAATCAGGCAGCAGCCCTCATCGGTGCTGGAATGAATTATCAAGTACAGCCTCCTGCCAGGTTCCCTCTGAGGTCCGATGAATCAGCACAGAATTTCTTCCTTACGCTTTAAAGACAGCCGAGCCGAGTGTGTGTGTGTGTGTGAGAGAGAGAGAGCATGCATACGCTGAAATACGATAAAAGCTTGTTTCCGTAAAGTTCATTGCACGCTGTTGAGCCTCGTGACTACACTACTAAAAAACATGAAAGTAAGACGAAAATAAAAAAAACAAATCGGATAAAAACATAGATATTTTCGACACGAGGGACTTCACTGCTGCTGCTGCTGCGTTGGACAACCTGTCGGTCCAACGCGCCGACCGCAGCGCCACCAGTGGTGAAATTAAGAACACGACACGAACATGGATTTATAAAAAAAAGAAACTGGCACCGATTACATAATGCCCAGTTTGTTTTTAAGTTTATCAACATGATTTTATGGAGGTTCATTGCAAATTTTATGGACCTAAATTAAAAAAAAAAAAGAATGAATTTGTGGATTGGAAGGCATCGAAGCGTTGATGTAGTGCACAGATTAGAGATTATAAAGACGAACAAGCGAAAGTTTCCTAAATCTAAAACTTGTCGCATTGTTGAATGACGTGTGAGCGAAAAGCATGCAGCAGAAATCTGCTATTAATACATAATTAATATTAGCTGTAATTTGTGACATTATAACACTGAGTAGGAACACAGACATGTCCTTAAACGTCCCGTTTTTTTTTAACCATCATCACTCCTGACTGTTTTTTAAAATGATTTTACACAGTTTTACCTTAAAAAGAGGTTTTGCATATTAATTGAAGTGTCTGATTTAAAGCCGTGGTTCAGAACCGGCCAGCCCACGTAAAGGTTGGTGTGGTATTTCTCTGAATAGCCCTTGATTAGACTCAATATCTACTTTCACCACTGCGCATGACCGACCGCATGGCTTGTTTGAGTTGCGTCGTAAAACAAGAACAACAAAAGAAAACAAAAAAGAAAACGCGAATGGCACGAAGAAGAGCCGACCGTTGCAGTTGAGAAGTCTCAGGAGTCGTTCGCGTCGCCGACCGAACGGAGCTCCCCGCAAAACGGGCGGCCGGCGGGGCCGCGGCGACGGACTCGGGCCTCAAACGCCGAGCTTGTTGGCTTGGGTCAGCACCACCTTCAGCACGGGCATGAAGGCCGACGTCTCGCTGAAGTTGCTGCTGCCGACGATGTGGGTGTGGATGTTCAGGCCCTCGGTGTAGGAGCGAGACTCGATGGTCCTCACTATGCTGTGGAGTCCTCCGATGATGGCAGGAGAGAGCTGAGCGGAGGAGGAACAGCAGAGTTAGAAATGAATTAGACCCAAAGCTACCGACTGCCTTCAGAAGTCTACGGAGGGATATTAGGAGCAAAAATGTTTTCTCATTTAGAGAAGAAAGTCAGAATTTTATGAGAAAATCCTGTGACGAGAATAAAGTCGTAGAACAAAGTTGTAATGATATGACAATAGAGTAATAAAATACAAGAATGGATTCATAATCCTACCACAATAAACCGGAAGTAGTACAAGAAAGTTGCAAAATACGAGAATTAAATCATAAAAATGAGAAAAAAAAGTCATAATAATACAAAAACAATGTCGCAAAATATGAGAACAAAGTTATAATGGGAGAAGAAGATCGTAGTAATACAAGAATAAAGTTATATTACCATAAAAAAGTCGTAAAATAAAGGAATAAAATCATAAAATATCAGAAAAAAAGTTGTGGTTATACAATAACAATGTCATGATATGAGAAGAATGTCATAATAAAGTCATGTTATTACCAAAATAATAAGACTTTTGCTATGACTTTATTAATTTTATTGTTCCAAAATAAAAGTATAATTTCTGAATTTGAAACATTAAAATGTGCTAGAAAAAAAATTCATCAGTTGAAAATTTACTAGAAAAAACCTCAAAATGTTATTTATCTCAGAAATTTTCCAGAAAAAGAAAAAAAACTTTTATTTTTGGTGTTTTATTATTCCAAAATAAAAGCATATTTATTTTGGTGTAATAAAAATAAATATTTTTTTATTTATTTATTTTATAAACTTTATATACAACAATATAAAGTTGTTAAAAAGTTGCATATTTTACAGCCTTAAAAGTTGTAAAACATGCAAACAAAATTCTCACATAGCAGTTCAGATGAATTCCTGTATTAAAGTGGCCTAGTCAAAGTCAAAGACGTGCACACACACTCGTCATCCAATCTGACCGTCTCCTGGTTGTTTTGCGGAGAAACATTTGCACCAACGTGGCCACAGCAGTGAGACACTCACCGTCTGCTCTCTGAGTTTGTCGTAGAGCGCCTCCAAGCGTTTGTTGGCGTCGTCGAGCTTCCTCTTGGTTTGCTGTGAGGAGAAGTCGGATAAACACAGGCTCATGCGTGTTGAACAGAGACGGAGGACAGACGGAGCAGCTTGTCCATGACAGACTCACAGGGTCGGTGGCTACGGCCAAGCACTTCTGGATCAAACCCTCGAATGTCGTCTTCAGCACCAGGTGTTCGTCAGGGATCGGCTTCTTCATGATCTTCTCAGCAGGGATCGACTGCAGAGGCTGACAGGAGCCAACGGCGGCCGCGATTAAAGGCATTGTACATTTAAAAAAACAGAAGGGAGTACATTTGTGCAAAAATATTTTTAGACTGGTCTCAGAAATTTTCTAGAAAAAAAAAACTTGGAAATTTCTGAGCTTCAAAGATTGAAAATGTGCTAGAAAAAGAAATCAGAAATTTTGAGATTAATCTCAAAACAAGGAAATTTCAGAATTTGAAACATTAAAATGTGCTTGAAAAAAAAAACTCCAGAAGAAATAGTTTCAAAAGTTGAAGACTTCCTAGAAAAAACACTAAATTTTGAGATTTATCTCAGAAATTTTCCAGAAAAAATAAGGAAATTTCTGAATTTGAAATGTTAAAATGTGCTAGAAAAAAAAATTCATAAGCTGAAAATTTACTAGAAAAAACCCTCAAAATTTTCCAGAAAAACAAACCTAGAAAATGTCCAAAAGTCAAAAATTTTACACTTTTGAAACTCAGAAATTTCCAAGGTTTTTCTAGAAATTATTTTAGATTAATCTTAAAGTTTCTGAGCTTATTGGTGGAAATGTATTCATTTATCTTTTCCTATCTACAGCAGCTCTCATGTGGAGACAACATGGACAGGTCCGGTGAAACTTCCCCCTCAGGTCGTGGTTAGATTGACCCGAGACATCCGTACCTGGATGGCGTCTCCTGTCGGTGCTCCAGGTGCGCCCTCCATGTTGGAGTTGGGCATTGAGGCGTTCATGCTTTGACTGGGGAGCTGTGTCTGGTGCATGCCTGAGTAAGGGACCTGGGAGCCCTGCAGACCCTGCAGCATATCCTGGGGGCCTCCAGACGACATGGGCTGAGCCTGGGGGTCAGCGCCCAGCGGGGCCAGAATGGGAGCCGTGATCGGGGCGGGTGGGGTGTAGTTCTGAGGAACCTGCTGTGGAAAAAAAAAATTAGAAAAATAAAATAATTTGCTCTGTTTCAGCATCTAGAAACTCCTGAACTGGTCAAATAAGGAAAGGTGCGTTCCACACTACGTTTAGGTCCAGTTGTGGTTTTGGAGCCTTTGTGCTGTTTGAAGATTTAGTGTTTTGTTTGGCCTTTTAAACCAAACAGGTAGGAACTGTGTGTTTTTCTCCAATCTGTCTTGAGTCTTAATGAACAGAATCTGTCCGACAACTGGGTAAAAAAAACCCTATCTATTAGTGCATAATTTCTGCAACATTAATGTTAGCATGCTAGCTAAGTGAAACAAACTAATGGTCCGTGGATGGAAACATTTATATACTAGTAGTACCCAGTTTTTTTGTGTGTTTTTAAAAAAAAAATAAATAATGAACGTAGACTTACCTTCTTCTTTGGGGCTCGGGTCAGAGCTGGAGGGTCATTCCAGCCATTCTGGGGTCCTACACGCACACGCACACACACACACACACACAACTCAGCTGATTGTTTTAGCTTTTGCTAACACACAATGTTCCAAATTTGGCATTTCTGACTCCTTTAATAGAGCTAGATAAACTCAGACACAGCTAGAAAACTATTCATCATTCAATATTACACTGTGCATGTATATTTATACACAAACACTTCATATAAAGACAATTCTGTATGAAATTCAATATCTTTAAAACTGGTAACCAAGTATAACAATTATTTAAATTTCACATAAACGTACATCAGTGTTTTACTAATGAATTAAAGTGAAAGTAAAGTTTGATTTCTCTGCCGGATTGTTTGGCAACCAAAACAAATCAAGTACAGACTCCTTGTTGATTAATCATTCTGAGATTAGAGACCAATGCTGTCTTTATTGCATCATTAATTTAATGTCATTACCAACAGAAAGCCATGCAAATTAAATTCACATCATTTCTCCATTTTCCCAGTAGAGATTTGTCTGCCTCCTTTGTTCTCAGCCAATCAGTGAGCTAGCAGCGACCATGGCCACGGCGAGACGTTTCTGACCCAACCTGCAGCTTGGCTTCACTTTGTATTCAGTTTAATCAACATGACTAAATCATGTTATGTGCTGAATATTTTAATTTCTATAGAAATTTAGAAAACAAAAATCTCTCAGATAATTATTCTTCTAATGCAGCCCTCATTAGTCATATTACAGAAATCCAACAATATTTTACCATTTAAATCTTTTTTAGTTGAGCTTCAGAGAATTTTTTTAACTAATCTGTGACTCTACAAATAAACACTTCTGCCAGCAAGGACAACATATTTTTTAAAATTCATTATTATTTTTTCATATTATTAATATTTTAATATTTTTATTACAACTATCAATTGTTTTTAAAAAAAATTTTAAATAATGTTCGTATTTTTATATTATTTTTTAACAGCCATAGCAACACAATGAGGTTAACATTAGCATTTTAGCTCATTTTGACATCTAAGCTAAAGATAGCCTGAGTGGAGTAAGTCACTGCTAGCCAACATGCTACTGAAAGCAAAGATGCTATCAATAGCATTCTAGCTAACCTTAGCATCTTAGCTAATTTTACCTTGAACACTAATGTTTGCTCTGTAAATGGCGTAAGTCAATGATTGCCCGAATGCTACTGATAGCATCTTAGCTAACGGTAGCATTCGAGCTAATTCTGGACATTCTAATGAGATGCAACAAAAACTATGTGATGTTTTAAACTGCTTAAGCTTTGACACTTAAACTTGAGGCCTGCAAAACATTCGGGTAAGTTTTTGTTCTTCAGACGTTTTCTAATTATTACGATTATTATTATCATCAATACCACTACCTTTTTACATTTTTTTTACTTTGAATTTTTACTTTATCTTAGTGATATCACTACCTATTTTTTACTATTCTTAAAATATTTATTATGCTTATTTTTACTACTACTACTATTATTTCTACCTACTACAACTACGATCATAACTAATCTGAATCTCTCTAGTTCAGCTCCCTGTGAGGATGAGTGAGCTGGTTAGCAGGACAGACAGACAGAGAGAGGATGATCAGAGCCATGCAGACCTGTTCTCTTAGAGGCGGGGATCAGCCCGGGGTCGGGGTCTAGCTGTGTACCTGAGACTCCGCTCGGTGGAGGATGGAGTGGAGGCGGCATGTACGACACGGGAGATCCTGGCCCGCCATGCTGGAAAGACGCTCCGGAGGACGGCGGAGCGGAGAAGGAAGACGAGGAGGGAAAGAAAGGAGGGCGAAAGGGAGGAGAGGAGGACAGGCTGTGGCCGGCAGGAGGTTGTCCCGGATAGAGAGGAGGCGGGACAGGCTGAGTATACTGAGCGAGGAAGCCGGGGGGGTGAGGAGGGGAGGAGGGCTCAGCAGGAGGACTATGAGGAGGAGCAGTAGAAGAGTACTGAAGAGGCTGATAGACGGAAACCCCCCCAGCTCCAGGCGGGTACTGGTTGACCTGGGGGTAGGCTGGGAGGCACACGGGAAGTTCTGTTAGTGGAAAAACCTGCTGCAGGTCAACAAAACAGCTGCGACATGCAACAGGACGGCTTCACCACATGCTCTACGTGTAGCTAGAGAGGAGTCAACGAGCAGAAAGCTGAGAGCTCACACGGACGAGTCAAAGATATTCCAGAGTCAGACGTTAGAATCTAACATTTCCACAGACAAATGTTGTTCTAGAGAGCAGAACTGAAGGCGTTCACTGAAAATGACATGTCAGAGAAAGTTGCTAGTTGGACTGGAGGCCAGAAGGATGCTACCTTCTCCCCTCAACCCCCTTTTTCTTACAAAAAAAAGACAAATCCCACTTTTTGGGAATATTTCTGTTGATGCTCTGGATTAAAAACGCTGCCAACTGTCACTTTCATGAAAGAAAGCTGTTTTAGAAACCCATGGCAGGATACAGTCAGGAAGTCAGTTCAGTAGGTGACAGCTGAGCAGATAACCTGAATATTAGCTTGTATACATGTAAGAATCCATGGCAAAGAAAAGCATAATATTTTACACAAACACCTGAAATCTAGTGGTGGGCACATTGCCGCTAATAGCGGAGCTAAATTTTAGCTTAGCGCTTTTGCTAACATTGAAAAAAAAAATAAGTTTAATTAGAGCTTCTGCTAGATGTCGTGTTTTTTTTTTTACCACTTTAGCATTAGCTTCTGCTAAATATCATGTTGGTTTAGCATTACAGGAACTCTAATATCAGATAGCGTTAGCGGGACTAATGTCATTCCTTGTAAGTGTTAGTGCAGCTAACGTTTTAGCTAGCGGTGCCCACCACTGCCTGGCTCTGATAGCGAGCTGTGAGAATACCCAGTGTCTCATAGTGTAAGGAGCTACATCGGTTCAAGACCTCAGAAGGGACGATTTGGTCATATTAAGCCTGATTAGTGTATCTGGGCGTCACAGGAGCTTCGTTTATAAGTTCTGCAACTTTGACTGGATAATACACATCATCTATCTGGTTTCTAAAACAATAAGACAAAGAAACTCATGTTCACATTAACAGCTTCATTACACCTGAAGACCAATAACAAACTTGAAGTCCCAACTTACGCTGGTACTGATGAGAGTACATGTAGCCAGGAGTGGAGGAGGCCGAAGGGGCGGCTGGTGTACTTGAGGCTGGCAGGCCGTACATCGGGTTTGGAGGCTCCGCCTGAAAGATTGAAGCAAATGCAACGAAACTAATAGCAACAGAAAGAGAGTCGAGCTAATTATCTGCTGAAGTGGCTTCCACAAAAAGCCATTCAGCTACAGGTTTCGGTTCATTACTAAAGGATGGCAAGTATTTACATGTATGAAGAAAAATGCAAGTCATGCAGTGAAATAATCCAAACAAAGACACGAAATGCATCAGAGCATCAGGAAAAAAAGGAAACGGTTGACAGGAAGTGGCTACAGAAGAGGGCATCACCGTAACAAAGCAACAATTTGGACATGGAGCATGGGTCCAACAAATAAAAGCCAGATTTATTTTATTTTTTTAAACAAGATGCATGTGAAGTCAGGGATGGAGGATTGTGTACCTGCTGGTCTGGGGTGCTGCCTACATGAGGAAGAGGAGGAGGAGGGAAGGCTGTGGGAGTTTGGTTACTCCAGGAGGTGACGGTGGAGGCAGCCCTCACCTGAAGCAAACAGAGACACAGGGTGACGCCACAGAGGAGGGATGACCACAGCATGGGACAGAGGGAGAGGAGCACCACCATGAGAACACCACTATGAAGATGAGTTAAAGGGAAAGCTCCGCTTTTTGAAAAAGGGATGGAGAATCGATGAGCAGTCGGAGTGAGCTGGGTAATTCTTCTTATTTAAAACGGCAGTAATGTGTGATTTTCAGGCACATGGTGTCATTTTATAGCACAATCATGTCACCTTCAGACGCTATAAAAATGATATATGCTAATATGATTTCAAAGAAATTTGACTTTGTAACTTAACACCTAGAAATTGAGTCTCTGTCTCTTTAAAAACTCCTGCTCTTTCTGAAACTCCTCCTTCAGGAAGTCATCACAACATGGCTCCTCTATTAACCCTTCAGCAACATTTTTTTACCAGCGTTGCACTAAGAAGCAGCTTGTGCAGTTAGTTCAGCAGGTGCTCAGTTCCACCAGGTGTTTGCTAATTGCTGCTGGCTAGTCTGAAGGAGCCGAGTGGAGGAGTCAAGGAGGAAGGCAACTTGGAGGAAGCTCGGAAACTGCAGGTCTGAGGAGGCGCTAGGTCCACCCAAGTGTTTTGCACAGCTGAATGGTTGTCATGGAGATTAAAGGATTTCTCAAACATCATAAAAGAATCAAAGCCACTCCAATCAGGTTTTTGATGTGGGAATAACATCATAACATGATGAACAGCTAAAGCAAAAAGTTGATTTTACACAATACTGCCCCTCTAAACCATGGCTTGTAAGAAAACTCTTCACCCTTTGACGGGTTCGTCAGGAGAACATACCGGCTGGTAATACTGAGGCTGAGATGGGGCAGAAGCAGGTGTAGGGCCTGGTGCTGGAACTCCTGCAGCAGGTTGAGGGACCAACGCCGGCTGGACCTGGGGGAACGGATGCTGGGGGAGAGGCGGGCGGCCGGGCAGCTGAGATGCAGCTCTGTGGGTTTGTGCTGGTGCTGCTTGCTGTCCTAAAGCCCGGATGAGACGGTCCCGAAGCTGCTGCACCGCAACCTGAATGGACGGAGATCGAACTGAGACCCAACACTCACACAGCCAGGCTTACGTCCTGCTCGAACCCTTATGTAGACTTTGACTGAGTACACACTTCATAGAAGAGTGTATGGTGTAATTGTTTTAATTAATTCACCAATTACTGCATACAAAACAAACATTACAGACTAACAAACAAACTCTAGTGAATTTAAGTTTAACTAAATGAAATGGTAAAAGGATTGAACTTATATAGCGCTTTTCCAGTCATTTTGACCACTCAAAGCACTTTACACTGGAGTCACGTTCACCCATTCACACTCACACATTTATACAACAATACGCAGATCGGTAGGCAATTTGGGGTTAAGTGCCTTGCCCAAGGACACATCAACATGTGGCAGGAGGAAGCTGGAATTGAACCTACAACCTTCTGATCACAAGACGACGACTCTACCCACACAGCCACAGTCACCCCATGAACTATCAGCGGTGCTGCAGACCTGGTTGGTGTTGTCGGGCAGGTATGTGATGGCCGTGGACAGACCGCCCTGAGAGGCCAGCAGGCTGGCGTACTGGCTCATCTTCTCAGCCAGCAGGATGCCGATCGCTGCAGGTCCGGACTGCTGGGTCAGCTCCACCGCCCGACGCAGCACCACCACCTTCTCCACCAGGTCCTGAGGCAAACAAAGGTGGAAAAGGATGGAATAATCTGGATAAAACATGCTCAGAGTCCATCTGTATTTTGGTTTTTATGTTTTTCTAAAGCTTTCTAAACACGAAAACCACAGATTATGTTATCAAAGTTTAAAATGTTTTTATTATCTTAATGTTTCACACAGGCCAGTGATGCCGTTGTTTTGTTAAGGCATATTGAAACCGAAGGATGTCTCGTGTCGTTGAGTTTTTTTGGAGTCTCAACAAACTAAAAACCTCATGCTTTGTATAAAATCAATTTTTTATATTTCAATTGAATTAAAAATGGGCAACACCAAAAAGCTCAACAGCGCCCCCAAAGATTCATTCAGGCCAGTCAGTGTATGACAGACATTGGAAATCAGTAACAAAGAGAAAACGTCTCTTCAGGTCAGGGACTAAAACCAACAGGAAGTTTATCGTTTATCATTTATTATGAAAAACTCAAGAAATTTGATAAATTTCTGATGTTGATGTTAAATTTAAAAACAAAAATAAAATAACAGTTTGGTTGTTGTTATTTTTTGCTACTTTCTCCACATTTTGTTTCATGAAAGAATCAATAAATATCAGTAAGCTCAAATATGATTAAATACAATTACTGTCTGCAGTCTGGTGATATAAACCAGTTTTGTACTCAAGTGGTCTCCTGAAGAAGCAAATCTAAGAACAATAAGTGTGTTTGTGGTGCTATAAATACTGTGCCATGCAGTCACTGTACTGCAAAACTATTTATTACCTATAGAATAAGTCATTTTCTTTTACCTTAAATAGTACCTCAAAATACTGCGATAAAATTCACAGTCCATACCGCCCACCCCTACAGGAAGTCAGCCATTTTGAAGCCTCCTCATTCAGGCTGCAGCGTGCGTTAAGAAGAAACCCACAAACCTGCAGGGAGAGAGGGCAGTGTCCGTCCTGAGCTCTGCTCCAGCAGGACACCAGCTTCTCCACGTTACCCGCACAGATGTAGCACAGACAGGCCTGAGACTGGAGCTGCAGGTCCTCTGCTGCCTCCAGTCTGCTGCCGAGAAGGTCTGACAAGCGGAGGCGTAAAAGACGGTAAAGGTAAAGGTGGTGAAACTGGGATAAGTTCAGAACAGGAACAGGCGCGCGACGCCTCACCGCAGAGGGAAGAGAACTCCTCGGGCCGAGCGTAGGTCATGACGGCAGCCATGGCCTCCCTCCAGTTCTGCAGATCGCACGTCTTCAGGATGTCGTGCCAGTCTTTCATGACCACGGCGCTGATCAGCTGCGGGACAGACGCACACTTCCATCATAAATAACAGACTCTCTTTAATAAGCAAACTCTCACAGCAGCGTTTTTTTTCCCCCAGGAGTCACCTTGGTGATCTTGCTGTTTGCTTTGGTGAAATACTTCCTCTGGGTTTTCTCCAAGAGGTCGGCTCCTCCGGCAATTGCTAGGATGATGCTGTCTGCCATTCGGTTGTCGTGGAGACAGAGCTCCACGGCGCCCTGAAAGTCTCCGGTCAGCAGAGCCTGAGTGATCAGCCCGTCCACATCTAATGAAAAGAAAGAAGAAAAAAAGTGACATTTTTATATTAATAGTAATATATAAAAAAAATTATCTGCTATGGAAAATCTGCATAAAAAATTGAAGTCCTGGTCTGATCAATCTTTAAAAATGGACCAAACGTTATTTTCCCAACAATTAAAGTCAAATTCGTTCTAATAAAAAAAAAAAAGTTTAATTTGAGTTTCTGCTAAATACTATGTTGGTTTAGCATTTCAATTAGCGGCACTATTGAAATTAATTGTATGTAAAATAGTTGGCCAGTAAATTTGATTCGGATTAGTGCTTCAGGGTTAGCACAGCTAACTTTTTAGCTAGCAGTGCCCACCGCTGACAGAGTTGTCAGAAGTGTATTGTGTAAGGAGCTACATCGGTTCAGAACCTCAGAAACACTGATTCTAAATATGTTGTCATGAAAAAGAAAAGAAGCTTCATTTGACAAAAATATTTGAACACAGTTTTATGGAATCTCCCTCTCTCGCTCTCCCTGAGCCGGCGTGACGGTACCTTTACTGACGCTGAGATGGACTCCTCCTGAAGGAGTGGGAACCGGAGGGGGGATCTCTGCTGGCGTTTCCACAGGACTGCTCTCCTCCACTTCCACCTGGGCTGTCAGGTCCTGAAGCATAAAACGAAATGTTTTCTACACAAAACCAAAAGCTGCAGAATAACTTCAAATCATTAAAAAAAGACAGAGAGAGGACATGGTTTGATGCCAGGAGTACGGCCAAATGTGTTGGTGGTCCAACACATTTGAATCCAAAACGATGCCACCAGAGAGGCTGATAGACGCACTTTTCACACCGTGAATGGAAAATAATTTACTTCAGGACCTAACTGGAATTTTAGTTATTGGTAAAGACAATTAAGAGGGATCTAATGCCACAACTTCCACAAACAGCAAATCAAAATTCTCAAGAGTGAGAAATTCAAGTTTCACAAATCACTTGGAAAAAGTAAAGAACGCAGTTAGTGACCACTGCTCAGGGTGGACCAGTCATCTTTCACTTCAGAGGAGAAACTTCCACATCCTAAAATTATCTTCCTTCTCATATTTCTTAAAAAACAAACAAACAAAAAACACAGCATCACAACACAGATGTCTTATATTTCAGATTTTTGTGTGTTTATAGTCATATTCTTGTTTTCTTACTTCCCATCAGTTTGTCTTTCTCTATTACCATCTGACTGTTTCCTTTTTGTGAGTTTTATCTTTACTTGTAATGTGTTTTATGTCCATCGGCCCATTTTAAACCTGCAACACATTTTGCATCACAATTTTTTACATAAAAATGGTTCTACAACAGATTTAATTGGAAATAACAGGCGTTAGGAATCACAACACGCCAACAGAGACGTCTTCTGTGACATTTTCAGAACTCAGAAAGTCTAACATGACGTCATGTTGGATGTGCAGTTCTGCACAAAACCCCCCTCAGGTTTCATGGTTTTCAATGGGAACACTGCTTTGTTTGGCTACAAAGACCAACACACTTACGTCTACAATCCTTTTTTTTTTTTTTAGACTTACTTACAAGCCAAGAACATTTAGGGAGGTTCTTATAACTTAAAAAAATGCAACCGAGTTCAACTGGAATTTTTTTGTGTTGCCGTTTCAACTGGAGTTATTCAACATGAACGCCTTCACTTGAATGAACCCACATTAATTTGACTGACAGATATTCTCATTGTTTAAGCTCCTCTCAGTGGCTCCTAATAGAGAATCACCAGCGGTATGCAGCAACCTGAACCACTGGCACCGAGGACGGGCAGCGAGACTCAACCTGCATGAACTTGGAGACAATAAACCTTTTCTCCCAGAGCAATTGCATTAAAATCACCTGGATGAGCCTGTGTTTAGTTGTGCAGTGATATTAAATGCAGCTTAAGAGTAATTCTCATCAAACTCTACCTCATTCAGAGGGATCTCCTCCTCTTCCTCCTGTTTCTCCTCATCATCCTCTTCCTCCTCCACCATGTTGGTGTCCAGTTCGCTGTCAGGACCATCTTCCGGTTCTGCCGGCTCCTCGCTGTCCAGGTCAGGAGTGGAGTTCAGATGGAGCGCGGCTGCAGGCTGGAGGTTTGAGGCGGCGATCAGGTCGAACGCTGCCTCTGGAGTGTCAGCAGGGGGCGCCAGGCTGAGGTCTGCTGAAGGCAGCGGTGAGGTGGAGGCCGACAAGTCTGGCTGCAGAGCCAAAAGACAAGTTCAGGACGAGATGGAGGATTTAAAAATATATATATATGATGGATGAAACGATGGACAGACAGACAAAAGGGTTGGATGACAGGTGCAAAAAAATGGACATCCAACTAGTTGGATCCATCCAAACAGTTGGATGGATCCAAATATTTCCACATAAATGGAATGAAGCCTGGAAATAAAACAAAACTCCCCATATTTATTCATTATCAAAATTTTCTTGCTACTTGAAAGTGACTTTAAAACAAACAAACAAACAAACAAATCTCTTAGCTGTCTTAGCTGCCACAGAGTCTGAATGGATGTTGTGGATCACTCTGCTTAAGAAAGAAACATTTTCTCTGGTCTTCATGGCCACTTCAAAACTAACTGTTGATTTATATATTAATCATTTGGTGCAAATGTGATTTTAATTCGCTTTCCGACTGGAGAGGATTTTAAATGAATAGGATTTTATTTCAGTTCATATGAGTTGAACTTCTCCTTCGCTCTTTTTTTCACTCCAACTGAGTGAAAGTCCTGAAACTACAAAAACAGGAGAGGAAATCTTGCAACACTTCCTGATTGCATAACATGACAAACCCACAGCCTCAAGCCTGAAGACACATATCTGTCATAATAATAATAATAATGACAGTTATTATCTTTGGCAGAAAATAAATGTTAATAAAAAGATTAAATTAGCGCGTTAGCTTAGCAACAATCTGCTAACTCGGTATTGTGGCCATAAGATGCAGCATTAGTCCAAATCCAGGCTGCTTTTGTTGTGAGAAAAAGTTGAGTAATGAGCACTTTTTTTTCTGAACGCATCTCCTAAAAATCCTTAAAAATTCCTTTAACATATACAAGTTAAGCGTCTCAACTTACCTGAGGGACGTTAGCAGGTTTCTCCTCTAAAGCTGCTGAAATCTGTAAACATCACAAACACATTTATCACAAGACACCAAGGTGAAAAGAAAAGTTTGAGCTAAAGTCAGGCTATGTGAATGCAGTCACCTTGGAGGCGACGTCCTCTTTGTTGTAGCCCAGGAGCTCCAGGTACTTGCTGCGAACATCGCTCTCGAAATTCACCTAGCAACCAAAAATCATTTAAAAAAAAAAAAACGGGTGTGTTTTACTGGAAACTCTTCTTTGAAACAGAGAGATGATCCTACCTTCAGGAAGGACCAGACTGTTCTGTCAAACTCGTTCTCAGCCGAGCTGATCTTCTCCTGGCAGAAGTCCACGAAGCCACCCGAGCTCAGGGTGGCCTGCAGCCGGTCGGAGCGCTCCAAAAAGGCCGTTTCCGTGACAACCTGACTGATGTGAACGACATGGGATGTGGGCTGCTGGGGCTGCGGAGGCTTCGCGTTCTCCAACGACACCAGCTTCCCTCCAAACTACGAGACAAAACAAAACAAAAAAAAGAAAGAGCGTAAACGATGACGGTTTCCACTAAGAAAATTGGAGCATAGCTTCACTGACTCACAGCGAAGGAGGCTCCCACTGGTCTGCGGATCCACTTGGGGGGCTTCTTCAGGGGGTTGACTGTAGCTGGAGCGGCGGGGGTCTGCGGCAGCTGCAGCGGAGGCAGCGGCTGCCCCGTCCCAAACGGGTCCAGGTTCCCAAAGGAGTTGCTGATCTGAAATGGAGCCAAAAGTAAGACGCACTGAAAACCTCACTAAATCTCACAGCACAAAGCAGAAATGATAACAGATGCAGAAGCAGTCACATTTTTCGCAGTTAGAGGCCCAAGCGTCTAACATTTTACTGTGATTTAATGTGTCAATTTGAAAATGATTAAGTTTCTTTTAATTTATCATGCGATTCATTGTTTAAATTGCAACAGGCTTAATAGTGAAGCCCTCACCTGATCGGCGTGCCTCTGGCTCTGCGCCTGGCTGCTGCCTCCCATGATGGAGTAGATGTCGATGTGGCCGTCGAAGCCCGCGGCCGACAGCACCGCCGGGTTCCTGGGGCACCACTGGATGTCGAAGCACCACTGGCTGCTGGTGGGCAGCTCGTACAGAACCTGGAGGTTTGAGCCAATTGTTCCCTCGTGAAGCAAATGCCGAGAAGGTGCAGAACATTCAGACGAACCGGCGAGACAGAGGGTGGGGGAAGCGTTACCTCTCCTGTGTTGGGGTTCCAGCACAGGATGCGGCTGTCCTTCCCGCAGCTCAGGAGCAGCTCTGGATCGGCCAAGCTCCAGGCGATAGCCAGGACCCCTCTGCACAAAACGGAGCAGCACCATTAGATCAACTGGGTCGGGAGTACACTCTAAGAGACTGAAGGGTTTTCACAGCCACTCAGCTCCTTCAGACTAGCCAGCAGCAATTAGCAAACACCTGGTGGAACTGCTTCAGAGTAAATGCTGGTAAAAACGTCGTCAAGGAGTTAATGGAGCCATGCTGCGATGACTTTCTGAAGGCGGAGTTTCAGAAAGAGCAGGAGCTTCTTAAAGAGACAGAGGCCCAATTTCAAGGCGTTAAATTTCAAAGTCAAATTTCTTTTAAGTGATATTCGATAAAAATAGTATTTTTATAACAACTGAAGGTAACATAGTTACTTCACTGTGCTATAAAATCCCTGGAAAATACATAACACTGCCCCTTTAAGCATAGCGGGTGATATGTTTCTGTATAATGAGGCAGAAACATATCATAGAAATGTTAACACCCTGCATCAAGGTGAGCATAATTATTATATTTTCTTTAGACCCAAACAGGAGATTTAACCGACTCTGAAACGCCAAAAATGACCAAAAGTCTCTCAGCGACACACAGCACTCATTATAAATTTGATTTACCTTTACGTCATAAAACCCTAAATATAAAGACTCGTGAATAAAGCCTGTCAGAGGAAGGGAACAGAAGTTTTTACCGCGTGTGTTGCTCTAAAATCTTGAGAGGAGAGGAAGCGAATCGCAAGTCCCACATCTGGATGACCGGCAGCCGGTCGTCTTCTGAGGCCAGGACCAGCTGAGTGGCCACTTCGGGGTTCCAGGCCAGCCCAGAACAATGCATCTGGAGGCAGACACATGGAGCACAGCGGCAGGGTGAGACACGCTCCACCACACGGCTGAAACTAACGGTTATTTTAGTAATCGATTCTTCTCACCATTAAGCAATTAATCATTTAAAAAATGAAAATTTCTACAGATTTTTCATTTATCCCCCTTATACAATATTAGAAGTATATTAATGCATATAAACAAATTATTCCATTCCTTTTTAAATAAGATTTTATTTTCTAAAACGCAATAGCATATAGTTCTTTTAGCAAATTTAAAATGGAAACTAAACCACTTGAGGAGTTTTGGCTAAAACTTATTTACACACAAAGGTTTTTTTAAATTATTTTAAATTCAATATATTTTGTGCAGTTTCAGCTCTGGATGTGTTGGTTTTGTTTAAATAAATGGCCTCTACTGGGTCTCTGTACTCCAGGTGACAATTAATCGATTACTACATTAGTTGTCGATTTATTTCAATAATCGATTAATCACAATTAATCATTTCAGCCCCACTCTGTGATGTTCTGTGCGCGCTCGGCGGAGGACCTACTCTGTTGCTGTGGTCGCTGACTTTGATAATGAGGTCGTTCTTCCGCAGGTCCCACACCGAGGCCCTGCCGCTCGGGCAGGCCGAGGCCAGGATGTGCTGGACCTGTTTGTTCCACGCCACGCAACTGATGTCCTCCTGCGGCTTTAAGAGAAAGAAGGAAAGAGAGAGAGAGAAAACCCCGATATACTTTAATACATCCCAGAAAAAATGATCTCATTCAAGCATTCCATAGAATGAGTGTCAGCAGACTCAACATAGACAATATGGAGAGTGAAGTGAGCCAAATTACCAAAAATAAAATAACTTTTGAAATAGCTTAAATTTATTAATTTATGATGTGCTTCAGCACAGAAACATGAAATAATATATATCGAGTTTTTAAAATGAATACATTTATCTGAGGAACAAATAAACAAATCTATATTTAATAAGTTATTTCTTTTTTTACTTTTCCAGTTTTATAAAATTAAAGACAATTTGACAAATTATTTATTTATTTATTTTAATTTGGCGTTCAATAATGTTTGAAGGTAATCTCAATTGCAAGGTTAAGCCTGGAATTTTTTCAACTTGTGTTAAAACAATTTTTAACTTGGTAGTCACATTTTAGGTATTAATAAAAACTAAAAATGCTGTCAGCAGCGTAAACGTACCTGTGCTTTAGGTCCTGGCGTCATGGGAGAGCCAAAATTATTCATGTCCCAAATGTAAATTTCTGATTCATTCCCACCAGACGCAACCAAGTTTGACTGGGAAAAAAAAGAGAAAATAGTCAGTATAAAAATCACCTTGAAAAATATTCATACCCCTTAAATTTCCTCAATGGTTTTCAGGTCAAAATCTTGGGTGTGTTTCAGTGAGATTTTTATGTGACACAAAGCAGCGTCCAACTAGGAAGGTAGTTTTCAAAAAGAGCTCAAAACTAAAACTAAAAAATGTGGTGTGCATTTTATTATTTAGAGACCATTATCAAGTAAAACATTGATATGGATTGAATAATGCAAGTTCAGCCTCTCAAAGTCTAGTAAACTTTAATATTGTTCAGAACACTCCACATTGAAACTAGAAGATGTTTTAAAATATCCTAAATCAAACATGACAACCAAAAACAATAAATAATAAGGAAATAAAAGAACAACTGAAACTGTAAATAAAATGTATTATGAATGATTAATCATCAAAATGGAAACTAATGAGCTCATTTTAATTCATCATGTGATTAAGTGATCAACAGTTTATTGCGACAGTTTTAGCAAGTTCTCACTTAAAATGTCAAAAAATAATAATAATAATAATAATTCTGAGCAATAAGGTTTATGTCCTCTCATTCTTACTACTTTACAATTCAAAAAATACTTTATTGATCCCAAAGGGAAATGAAATGTTGCTGAAATTAATTCAAAATTCTTCAAAGACTTATTGTAGATTTACGGCTGTGGGAAGGAAAGATGTCCTGTAGCAGTCTATACTACAGCGAACTTGAAGAAGCCTCTGACTAAAGACACTGTTTTTCTAAGACAGACTGTCTACTGAAGAGAATGACCAGGGCTGTCTAATCATTTTTTTGATTTTATATTAAAAAAAAGTAAAGCATGAATATTTTTTTCATTGGAGCTAAAAGGCAAATAATTTAGAAAAAACAATTCTCGGGGCCGGACGGCTACATACTTGGAAATGGTTGACGTCGAGGGCCCTCACTGGCCCCGTGTGCCTGACGCTCTCAGCTACGATGACGTCGCTCTCTCCGGCCACGATCTTGGCGGCGTCGTACAGGATGACGTTGCCGTTCTCCCCGCCGGCGATCAGCACCCCCGACGGGTGGCCCTGGGCGTCCATGCCGTAGGGGCCCCACACCAGTTTATGATATCTGTGGGAAGCAAAAAAAAAAGGTGAACGTATGAGAAGAGAAAGGGCTAAACACACACATAAACAGGAGAATTCAGCTAACAGTGGCGGTGCAGAGAAACTCTTCTCCACCTGTGAGCGGAGGAGAGGCTGCCACACGACTTCATATCCAGAGACGGATCAGCCAGGTCCAACTCGAAGAGCTCCAGGGAGGCATTGGTGCTGAAGGAGGCGTCCAGCTGCTGGGCGGACGTTCCTGCACAGACAGAACCGGAAAAATACAGCATTTAAGTGGATGGGTCTTCCTTTCCTTATAGCGATAAAACCACAGAAGCAAGTCATTTACACAAACCATGGCAACTGAGATGCCAAGATTCATTTATATTCAAGAACAACTTTAATTAGCTAGATTGCTTGAGAAATCAGATGGTGTTAAAAGGTGATGATAACAAAGTTAAATCCCTTTATTGTTTGGCTCAAACCTGTTGCTAGGTAGATCGGGTGGTGCTGAGCAGGACTCCAGCTCTGGATGGCTGTGCGGTTGATCTCTTTGAGTTTCATCCTGGATGAAAAAACAAAATAAAACAAAACAAAACAAAACAAAAAACAGAATGTGACATATTCAAATTATGACAGAACTGGTGAAAGCTGTGATGGTTTGTTGGGGGGGGGGGGAGAGCCATCATGAAGCTTTTCTCCCAACATCTTTTTTAGAAAAAATTTTACTTTTTCGACACTACAATTATTCTTACTCGAGTAAAACCTTCTGCACACTCTACCCTCTGTTAGTAACTTTTATTTTTAAAATATCAGAATATGTATACAATATAATATTTTTGTCATTTTAACATATTAAATACAATGTTACTCAGTACTTGAGTAGATATTTTTTATGATATACTGTTTTTTCTTTACTCTTACTTGAGTCATTTCTTGGACGAATACTTGTTACTTTAACTTCAGTAGAAATATGTTCATTTCAAATATGCTACATGAGTGCACATTTTTGGCTAATATACCACTTCATTTAATCACAACATACATTGTTTTCACGGAAATCTGTGTAAAATCTACAGAATATTTTAACGTCAATGTGAATAACTATTGTAGATTAACAGAGTAACGCTGCTGTTCAAAGTTAATCATTCTAGAAGCAGAACAGATGCAACAGGCTGAACATGGGATCATTTTTAGCTCTTCCCAATCCCAATGAAGTACACAGATGGAACAAAAAGAGAGTGGCAGTGTGAATATTTTCAGAAACAATAATAAACACTGAAAAGTTTTAAATGGACCAGTTTTAATGGTTCATGCCTGCACTCAACGCATTTCATGCTGCACGACATTGTTTATATTTATCTGCTTCACCGACTTCACAGAATCTGATCAGAGTCGCCTGGTCTTAGAGATTAACCTGGCAGGGCTTCAATGACACTTTAGAAATATATGGCATGGTTTTTACAGTTCAGTCTGATTCTAGGACAGCTTAGTTACAGAATAACAGACCCAGGCCTCGTTTTCACCTGGCTTCTGTGATTCATATTAAGTGATAGCAGGGGAATTTCACAGAAAAGCGGATTTCTCTCAAGAAATGAAGAATCTGGCTTGATTTTGCAAGGGAAAAACACTCGAGCTAGCATGAAGCTAACAGCTGATGCAGGATAACAAAAAGCCTAAAAGAGTGGGAACATTGCTGCTGAAACACAGTCCGTGTGTTACTGTCAACTCCACAAGCTATCCGGGAGAGTGTTACCTGTTCTGGTAAAGGACGTGTTGTTTTCAGTTAGTACCGTACTAGATACATATGCAATGAAAGACAGTAGCAGACCTACACACACACACACACACACACACACACACACACACACACACACACACACACAGATCTTATTACTTCTCTAAAGCGGCTTACCTTCTCTTCTGAACCGCTCCTCACATGAACGCAATAACAAAACAAACACACACAACCTCCGGCCTGAAGAAGTTCCCGTTTCGATTCTGCTCCTATGAATAACTGGTGTGTAGGCAGAGGAACGGGCTACCGGGTCCCGGCTGCGGACTCTCAGGACAGATTTCCACGTCCCCACTGGTCTCCATCAACGTGGCACTAAGCAACAACCTCCTCCCACGAAGAAGAACTTCAGCTTCCGGGTAGACGAACCGCACCATAGATCGCACCGTCTTTCCCTTGCTAGCAAGCTAAGAAGCTAGGGTAACTCATGCTCATTGACAGCAGTTGCTGTTAATAAAATTCATCTTAATAAAGGATTTTATTTTTCCATACATTTATAGTATTTAATTAATAAATGTAAACACCCATACAGTTGTGGAAATAGAAATATGTTTAAATAAAATTATATTAAAAACTAGCAATACTACCTTATAAACTATCCAAAACTGACGTAGAAATAAAAAACTACACACGAAGCTGGACGTTTCAGTGCCTCCAGACGTCTTATATTTAATAAATTAAGCACATACATTTAAATGTAAAACGCATCTTGCAGTTTTCTTAGAAGCCGAGATTTTGTAAAAAAAAAATTTTAAACCCTACACATTTCGTTTGATCTGAGCATCCTATTTTTAACACAGTATTATTTTGTTTCTGTTTTGGTGTTTAATTTTCTAACAATAGTTTACTCAATTTTGTTTAAATGTCATAACATTTTTAAAGAAACTGCTCAAACTAAATGAAGTACTCTACTTCTATTTTTGTAACTACACACTATTAACTTTACTTGTAATCTTAGTTTTAACAACAAAATGTATGAGTCAAGGTTTGTCAGAATTTAACTAGTTTCTCAACATTAAGACAGTCGTGTTTCCTCAGTCCATCACACCATCACCTGACCACATACATAAGCTTCATTAAAAGCCACCATTTTTGGGGGGGAAAAAAATAAACATTTTTTTATCCACTTCTGTTGAAACCAATATAATCATCCAACTACTCAATGTTTGATTATTCTAACAAAAGAAGAATTGTTATTTTAAGACATTTTCATGTTACATATTGTCTTTAAGTATAATACAACTATATTATGTGACAAACGTTTCTGTAACTATTCCATGTGTACTTGTGGCTTATTAGCCTTTAATAGACACCCTTTAGAAAAAGGCACAAACGTTTTGAGGGAAAAGAAAAACTCTCACACCATATCTACTTCAAAATTTATTTGTTAATTTAAGAAGAAAAACAAAAGACAACTGGTCAATCTTTGTAAGGGGTAGCATTGTCAATACCATCCAGATGACGAATAACTCATCTCCAACTCTGTATTGTGCAAACCAGGTGAACTCTGAAAGAACAACAATGAGGAAATGTTAACTCGTGTAGAAAAGGCAAAAATTCAACATGACCTTAAGAAAAACACCCTCATTTTGGTCGTTATCCATAATCTCTCCCATACATGCATATGTATGGGTCAGATGGGTAGTGATTGATATAATCATTGGGACAGCAATGCACATGGCAGAAACATAACCGGATTACAATACGTACCTGTAAGAATAAAGATCAGCTCCTCTTGATTAACATATTCTGGAAAACAAAATTAGGACATATATTTTAACAAGTAATGTTTTAATCAATACCATGTTGTTACGGCAGATACACTTTTATTTAGTGAACTCTTAGTAAACTAAAGCAAATTGTGAGTGATAGCACGTGGCTTCTCCATCACCAAGAGCGCGCGTCGTGTGAAAAGACAACAAATAAATCTGGACAAATTAATGTTAATTTAAATTCACAAATTAATTATGCAGTTAAAGATACATTTTTATACTGCAGAATCTATTTTTAGCTAACTCGCCTCTTGAAATAGCGTGAAAACCGAGGAATACTTCGAGTCTCGTACACAAACTTGCTTAAAATGCACATAATAAGCGAAAAAAATACAACTAAAAGTTTTTGTACCCAGGTAGAAAGAAAAACTTTTGAACTCCTCCAACACGCTGCAGCTGCACGTTGGCCATTACATCGTTTTCCGCCTTCCTCTTCTTCTACTGTGGATTAATGGTTGTTAGCAGCGAACCAACCAAGAAGGTGTCGCCACCCACTGCAACTCCAACTTACTCACTTTTTGCCGCTACGGCCACCTAGCGGTTGGAATGTACCGAGACGCGTTATACCCATGTTCCGTTTCTTTTTCATTGTAGCAAAGTATTTTCATGAATTATGATAATTTATCGTAAAAAGGCTCATATCCTAAGTGTAATTCAATTGATATCAATGTATCATTTTGAGCTGCACAGTGACGTAGTTGGTCGTACTACTGTTCAGCAGGCACCACTATTGGAAGAACACTGCCATTGACATTAGAAAATTAAATCTTCAGGAAACTTTAGCTTCTTGCTTTTCACTTTGACACACACTTTGGGCTAGACAGTAAACATTCTTACCTGGTGGTGAAGAGTGTGTTGAACCCTGTTAACCAACTTCAAAGGTTTAAATTCACAAATTTAAACCTCTGACTTAGAGGACTTATTTGTAAAATAGAGTAATATTGGTTGTAATGAATTTAAGTGTTTCAAATAAATCAAACGCAGACAAAATTCAACAATATACCCATTGGCGGTTTCTGATATGGGCGACGTGGGCAACCACCCAGGGCGACATGAGACCTCTGCATGTGTCATTTTAAAATCGCAATATTTCTGTACATACAACAGCAAAAATAATAAATTGATAATATTGAAGTGGGAAGAGAATTTGAAATTAAGTGTCTCCATGTGATACTATCCCATAAAATCTGCTGGAACTCCAAAATGAAATAAGTTATCAAAACTAGCACAGAGAATTTAAATTTTGGGCAAAACACGTTACATACTTAAATCACAAGGCTCTATTGTTTTCATCATTACCATATCTGAGTTATAGTGTGGAAGTTTGGGGTAACGCATATAAAAAACAACTTACAACCATTATAATATACTCAATCAGAATAGCTTAATCTGCATTTTAGGGAACACAAGCTCTTTTTGAAAGCAAACAAAAATTATGGGATGTGGTTAAATATAAAACAGTTCTTGCGTTAAAAACAAGAATCGGTTTACTTCCTGGAAACATTCAGCAAATGCTTATTGAAGGGGATGTACAATTTGAGGTCAACTTCATTAACAAAGAAAACAACACTGTTCGTGCTAGAAGGTTGTATCAATGTGTATCAATTTGTGTAGTGTATATGGAATGGTATGAGAGAGGAGTTGAAGCAAAGCACAAACAAGCAATTTTGCAAAGCAATACAAAAATATTTGAGAACTACAAATTGAGGAGAGGTTGTACTGATGATAGAAATTGAAGAAATCAACTTTTTCTCTGGGACTGAGTTATGAAGTGTTATAAGTTGATATAATAATCTGAACTGTATCAAATATGTAAATAATACTTAGAAATTATCATGACATATACTGTAAAAGAAGAGTAATGGCAATAAGTTATTTCACTTCTACTCATGTCCTCTTTTTGTATTTCATTATTTTTTACTTGAAATAAAAATCATGATGCAAAGCAGGATTGAGGGCTGCACAGCTGAAGTAGAGAAGCAATGTCAACGGTAAATATTGGTTAATCAACCATAACAGCAAAGTTAATATTGATATTGGCCAAAATTTTCATAATGGTGCGTCCCTAAAATAGCTTGTTTATGGGGAGGACAACAGAAGGTGGCATGGGTTTATTAATTTTTTTTCTTTAACAAATGCAGTAAGTAAACCTGGGAAGCTACTTCCAAAACCAGAACAAAAGTTATCTTGAATGTGCACATCCAGTATGACCTACTGAGATTAGTTTTTATTTTGGGTATAATTCTGAAAAAGTTCTGTTTAAATTCTGGGTGTCTGAGCAGTAAGACCCTGTTACTTTAAAATCTCCCGCGTTCGTCTCGCTTTTTAAAGTTAGCGTTAGCGCGCTAGCAAAGCCAGCGGTATGTCGTTTACAGTTGACGCCATAGTCGTGTCTCCGAGTTGATGTAAGGAGATCATCAGTTCCCGAAACCCCGCGCGGGCGCACACACACACACACCGCACGCGGTATTAATGCGACCCCACCGGACCGCGCGCATGGTGTTAATTTACTGTTTTACGACCGCGGGAGGGTTAAAACAAAATTTTAAGTCAGACGAAAACAGCTGGTGTAAATCCTGGTAATTCTTCGTTATGACACGCAGGAACGTCAGTCATATGGATCTAATGTTTTCTCAAGTCATTGCTGCGAGCTCATGTACAGTTTGCGTTTAATAAAGCATAGAAGAGCACCTGGGGAAAATGTGGAACTCCATCAATCTGAGTGTGTTCAGCTGCTACGAGGGGGACTCCATCTCTCTCTGTACACCTGTAGAAAATCTCCACTTACTGCTGCTGGAATAGTTTAGCCTAGCCTCAGTTAATAATTGACAGACTGCAGAGCTCTAAACCTTGCATATTAACACTCACACTTGATTACAAAGATTTGTTAAAATAAATATCAAAAAGATAGTTCCTCTACTGATAAACACAGATAAACTGCTGACGTTAAAATACAGGGGTTCTTGGAAAACGTCAGGATGGCAAAAGAATAGAGTGTACAAAATAAAAACAGAGGAGAGATCCGGAGAGCCCTTAGAGGGCAATAAATCGGGCTGAAGTTCATGTTTCAGAGGCAGTGTGCTCTGTCCTTTTGTTTTCCAGCTCAAGTCTAGTAATGCAGCTTAACTCCAGCAGTCTTGAGGATCTCTCCGCTTTCAGCGTTTCCGTAGAGCAGGCAGAGGGTCCGGCTTGTCCATGTCCAAGAGTTTGTGAACAAAGAGCCAGAAGAGTTCAGCCTAGCAGTTGATGGAGGCGCAGTCCGTTTTAGCTTTCCCGGCAGAGCTGATTATGCTCATGAGGCAGTGTCCAAACTCCTCCAGGATCGCCCTCTCCGCCTCCGCCTGAGGCTGACGAGTCTGTTCGGCCCGTTTGGCCTGCTCCAGTAAACACTCACACGTCGCTTCCAGCACTTCTTTCGTCACGAACGTGTACGGTAGCCTGCGGCAGGAAAGAAATAAAAACAGAGGTTTAAGCAGGATGGCATGATTATTCGTGTTGATTTTTCTTCCTCAAGTTCAAATGTTTGCAAAGCTAAGATGGATTATGTTGTTTTACAGTGGCAGCTGTAGGCTAGGCGATACGGTATAAAGATTTAAATTAAAATTAAATCGCCTTCCATTATTTTATGAAGGTGACGATACGGATTCTGGTTAGACAGAACGTCCATCACTCCTGGAGGACACTAGAGAAGAAGGGTGGCGAGAACACACCCCTGGGGAATGCCATTTCTGATAGCTCTTATATTGACGACTCAGTTAAATTTTCAATTAAGTAATGACTGCTCGCAGCAGGAAGACTCAAAATAAACATTTTTTAAACTGTACATTTTCGCATATTATAGTTATTAAAACTAATTTTGGATATGAAATGGCAAAAAAAAAAAAAAAAAGATAGCTGCATTTCCATTTAAGTGAATGTTGGAAGAGGATAGAAGTGTTTGAGTACCTCCCGCCTCCACTTGATATAATGGGAGTCGTCCTCATCAGCAGGTCTGAGATCTGTGAGGAGAGTTTGGTCTTGGCTGCCGTCTGCTGCTGGACCCTCACTTCTGCCGCGTCCGCCAGATGCATGAGCGTCTTCCTCTCGGGGCTCTCCTCAAAGTTTTTGCAACCAATGCATTTGCAAATGGACGAGCACATGATCTTTGCCTTCAAGATAAAAAAAAACAAAAACAAAAAACTTAATTACAAATGAAAGAGACTCCTGCCCAACTGCAGAGACGGAGGTACACTGACCTCATAGCACTCGCAGTAGTTCTTCAGGCAGCCCGACCGCTTGCAGTTGCAGCCTTTGCTGTGCCGGCGGTCTGACTCGCCCTCTTTGCCTTTGCCAATTTTAGGTTTGAAGGCCTCGGGGTTTCTGTCCAAGCAGGTCTGTAAAAAATCAAAATAAAAAACAAACTTCCTCTGAGTATCCATCAAATGGTTTATGTGACAGTATCCCTGCAGACACCGAGCCTGGAAACTACCTTAATGGCTTTGAGTCGTTCCGTTTCGTGCTCCAGGTTGTTGAAGCAGTTGTTGCAGTTACAGTTATTACAAAACTCTCCGTTTGCAAAGCAGTCGCAGTACCTGAGGGAGGAAACACGAGAAAACTTGACTTGATGCTTTGCATCTCCTCTAAAATTTTCTAAGAAGGACTGATGAGACAAAGTTTAATAAGTCCTTCAAGGATTTTGCCATTCTTTGTGTGGGTTTGTTTGCAATCAAGCTCTGATTTTGTGGTGCTACTTTAGAAATTCTTGTAAGAAATTTTTGATATTTTTTCTTGTTAGACTGGTTAAAAAAAAAGTGTCTTATTGTAAGTTGTGCAAAAATAATTTTGCTGTTTTTTTGTGGTTGTATTTTTGACAGTAAATACGACTTTTTGTTACTTGCCATATGATCATGGACTAGAACCTGACATCAAGTCTGAGGCAGCAGAAGTAAAAAAATTCTGCCACCTGCAGGTCAGAGTTAGCATCACTTAAATCCAATATTTTGGACCATTTTTTCAAAAGAAAAAAAAATTAGCAATAAACTCACAATTATTGAGTGAGTAATAATTATGTCATATTACATAATTTTTGGAGGAACGCCTAAAAAATTATGGAATTTAATATGGAACGCATTGATAATGCATGTTTACTCTCATGACCAGTAAACATTAATTTAGTAAACAACACTTAACACTGGAAGACATTTTACAGATCCTAAAATAAAAAACAACCAAAAAACAATAAATTAAACCAACATAAAAACCACACACAACTGGAACCATAAATAAAATGCATCATAATGTCTCTAAACAAAATTCATCGGAATGGAAATTGGAGTTCATATTACTTCATTATGCGATTAATCGATTGTCAAAAACCACAATAATGATGATAAAAAAGTTAATCTTGTGATAAGGCAATTTAAAACATAAAAATCTTATTTAATTATAATTCAATGTAAAAAAATTTTTAAAAAGCAAGCATTATTGTGTATTTTTTTTTCTAATTTCTTCCTCACTCATTGTTCCTTTATTGACCCTTCTCCAGATCTTGAAAGTGACAAAAGCCAATTCGATACTTTTCAAGACGTTGGATGAACCCTGCCAGTGAACACATTTCCCACGACCACTTTAATGAAGCAAAGCCAGTCAGACTTACAGCTTGAGGCACTGTGACTTGGTGCAGTTGCATGGTTTTCTGGGTCTCGAGGTTGTCTCTGCTGCCGACACGCTTTAAAGCAATGAATCATATTAAAACACGGACAAAACAAAGAGAACAAGTATAGCATCTAACATCATTAGAGATAGAGTAAATACAATCTATAAACAATAAGTACAAAAGCCAAAAAAAATAAAAGCTCTCCTGTCTTACCCATTGTAAGGGAGTTTGGCCTGAGTTTGGACGCTGCTGGACGCAGGAAAACTAGAGCTGCTGGCGAGTGTCACAAACTGTGACGGCTGGAGCTGCAAAAAAAGACGTTGCCACATCAGAAATGTTCTACATATGCTTCAAGAAAACAAATAAAGAAAAGTAGTACTAACCTGCGTGACGTATTGTGCTGGAACAACAGCGTAACCCACATTGCTGCCACCGGGGGCAGATGTGAGGACGGTCCCTGGGGGCAGGTTGGTGAAGTTGGGCTGGATCTGGGGCAGAGGGGTGGCGGGCATGATGAGCCGCTGCTGTGTCTGAGTGGTGGTGACCACCTGTGGTGCAGATGTCAAGGGCTTAGGCGCCACCTGCAGGCAGCAGAATGCAAGAAGACAGCTTAGGAACATTTCTCACACACAGACTCCCCCAGAAACCAGCGACCATACAGCATCTGCTTTACTTGTTTTATTGTCTGTGCTTGGACGACTGGGACCGACATCCTGACCGCTCCGGTGTTCACCACTAAAGGTTTACCTGGAAAACATGAAACACACACGGTAAGCTCCAGGCACACTTTCCGAGTAGGGCTGCAACTAACGAATAATTTAGTAATCGATTAATTAATCAGATAAGACAAAAATTGACACAGATTTTTCATTGAAGTCTTTATAAAATATTAGAAAACATTAATGAGTAAATTCCTTTTTAAAATAAGAAAATTAATATTTTATTGACTAAAATACAACATAGCATCCGTTTAATGAAGTAACTCTTGATACAAATAGCTGCTAGCTACTTGTTAGCAATTAAGAATTAGTTGCTAGCAACAAATGGTTGCTAACGACTTTTTAGCAACTATTTTTTCTATTATAGAAAATTAATTGATTATTCTAACAATTAATTGATTAACAGATTTTAAAATTGGCACATTCTGCAGATTTTTCATTTAACCATTTAAGCCTTTTATAAAACATTAACAATACTTTAAATACAAATAAAAATTTAAATTCCCTTTCCAATTCTTAAATGCAGTCATTAATTGTATTCTCTAGTTAACGATTAATCGATTACTGAATTTGTTAATGATCATTTCAATAATTGATTCATTGCGATTAATCATTTCATCCCTCTTTCCTGCCAACACAAGAAAACTAGCTCTGAATTAGCAGATGAAGCAGGAGGAGTTCAGGATTTACCTGTGGCCACTGAGCTGGTGTTGGGAGCGCTGGGCTGACCAGCCGCGCTGGCCGTGGTCGCCGTGACGAGGCGGACGTAGTGAAACCTGCTTCCTGGCACCTGAATCTGCTGCACGTTTGGCTGGGTGGCCAGAGGGATGATGGTCTTGAACTGGGAGCCGCCCACTCCTCCCACAGCGACGGACTGGACAGGCTTAATGTTCTGAGACGGTTCAGAAAGAAACGACAGAACGAGGTTTCAGGCAAGTAAGTGTGGAGTCATTGAGCAGACGACCGATAACTGGGATAAAGGGAGAGCAGAGGATTGTGCAGACATGCAGCAGGCGGCTTCACCTGAGCAGGCGTCTGGCTGGTGGCCACCTTGACTGGAGATGCAGGCGCCGACTGCTGGACTGCAAGAATTTGCTGGCCAAGTGCTACATTGACAGGCAGAGCTACCGACTTCTGGCTGGTGTTGGACGGCGGGGAAGCCACAGACACCACGGTTACCTGGACGACACAAATAACATGGAGATTAAATATTTACATGTCGGCGTCTAAGCATAAAAAAAGGCCTAGATGAAAAATCTGCAGTGTCCCAGTTTTTTTCTATCTGATTAATTGCCGATTAATCAATTACTAAAAAAAGGAGCAAAAGGATTTAAATTATCTTATCTACAATTTGTTATGTATTTCCAATACCGAATGAAACGAGCAGATGTGGTCAGATGAAAAATCTGCAGAATGTGCCAATTTTTGCATCTGATTAATCAATTAAATCATCAGAATAATCAATACAATGACCAGTAACTAAAATAATCGTTACTGCGGGCCTGAGCCGTCTTCAGAGCTCAGCATTTAGCGCCATCTGAAGCCTGAACACACTGAACCCAGCAGATCTCCCAGCAGCTCACCTTGCTGGGAGTCTTCAGAGGCGAGATGGCGATCTTTTTGCCAGAAATGCTCTGGATCGTAGTGTTGTGGGGCTCGGACAGCGTGATGGTTTTTGGTGACATCACCGGAGACGTTTGCGTCACCACGCGCCCTGGGAATGCACCGTGGAGCATTAGCAAAGCAGACATGCATTGAATGCAGCAGGAAGTCAGAGTCAGAGGAGACGCTGACCTGCGATAACAGGAGTCACCGACGTCTGAGGACTCAGGCCTTTGCTGTTGACCGTCTTTGTGATGATGAACTTGATTGGAGCAGTTGAGGATGCTGGTGTTTTCTTGGGGATCTAAAGGACGTGAGCAGTTATTAAAAAAAAAAAAAATAAAAAAAATCAGCCTTACTTGCAGCTGATTTTTTTTGAGGACCCCCGATAAAGAAAAAGGACAAAACTACAACTTTTAAATTAAAATCTACACACAAAAATGTTAAGACAACAGAAAGTCATCATTCTTTCCAAGCTTTCTGGTTTCTTTCCATTGTCATGGTAACTAGGACCACATCTCCTCATTGGCAGAGTCTAAAACACACCTTAAAATACTCCCATATTAAGACTCAGCCAAGTCCAGCAAGTGTTTTAAAGCGAAAACTGACCAATATTCTCTTTTCATTGCAGAGAACAGACTAAATATTGTTTTAGTTTTCTCCATATGAGCCCAGAATGATAAGCAAACTGGATATTTCTGATTTGACAGGAAAAACATTTGATGTTTTGGATCTACAATCCTGTTGTGATTTAAAAAAAAAAGTAGAACTAATAAAATAATAGTTTATAGTTTATTGTTGAGTAGGTAACCTTTTTTTTGGTCACAAAATATTTTGGTAATTACTGACGATTTTGACTTTGGCCCACATGACAAAAAGTTTGGAGACACAAGATGTTTGTTAATAAAATAAAAAACAAAAACTAATGCATTCATATCAAAAGTTTTTACACCAATATTGCAAAATATATTGCGTATCATTCAAATGAAAAGCATAAGAATGATACAACATGGCGATGAATAGGTCTGTCACCAATAACACATTTTGCTAGAAGATAAATTGTCCAATAATTATTGGATTTTTGTTGTTTTGAGGCCATTTTTAAATATTATATTGACAATAGCATAATGAAAATTTGTAAGGTCACTTAAAAAAAATAATAAAGAGGCTAAGAACTGACTGTCCTCACAATCAGAGTTGTGGAGAGTTGTTGCCAGGTAAAGTTAGAAAATATTACAAAGACGAGATGTGTGACGCCGACAGGTTCCAACCAACGATGGCTGCTTTAAAAGGCGCTCCAACAAGTATTAGCATAAGGGTGCATACACTCATGCTAACAGGCTGTTGCAGTTTTTGCTTTTTCTTCCTCTCCTCTAAGACTCGTTTGCTTTTCAGCTGAGTCGCACAGGACAAATGCCAAACTACATTGGAAAAGGTTGCAACTCGCAAACATCTCAACAGGGATCTACGGACTTTCTGTAGCCGCTGTACACCTGATCTCTTATGATTCATAACCCTGTATGCTGGGCTCCATTAGGTGTTTATTTACACAAAAGTCTATGGTTACTACACACGGCAGGTCTGCAGTCCATTAAACCTTGTTGTGTGTGAAAGATTATTTACAAAACAGAACATGTTAAGCATATGAGCAGAGAAACTGTTTAATAGAGAGTAGAGTTTAGATTTATGGCCCGAACCAGAATTATTTGCTTGATGGTCAGGTTCGCGTCGGGCGTCTGTGGTGTGTTTAGTCAGCCTAAAATACTTACAGCACACAGAATGCTGTGTGAAGTTGTATTAATCTACTAATTATAGTCTAATTACAGTAGTAGACAGCTTAACCGGTTGAGGAAATAAAGAAAATATGTAGGGTGCAGAAGTTAATCAGACCCGGTTGGATTGGATTTTTTTTTTTTTAGGACCAATATAAACTGTAATGGAGAAGTGATGTGGGTTAGACTGACGTGGTTTCAGTGTGCATAGATTACTAATTGGGGTGTGAAGATAAGCCGACCCTGATTTCCTTACTTTGGGTGATCGGACGATGTGTATATGTGGAACTGATCTTATCTACCTCCATGACATCATGAGGGCACGGATGTTGTCTTCATGATCCACCGAAGGGTGACAGATACGTTTTTTTAAGTTTTCTTTTTGGCTCTGGTGGCCTTTATTTGAAAGTGCTAAGACAGAAAAGTAGGTAAAGAGAGAGACGGAAGGCATGCAGCAAGGGTCACCAGGCCGGGAATCGAACCTGCGATGGCTACATCAAGAACTAAGGGTTGTACTTAAAACCCCTGAGCCACCACAGCACCCCAGTTAAGGGGTTTTAAAGATTGATGATCGGCCATTAAAATCTGGAATCGATGCATCCCTAGTAAATATCTTCTTGCATCTTCGTTCGGCTCCTTTATATGCGCCTCAGTAGTTGCGTTTCGATTGATCATAAAATAGTGCAAATTGAAATTATGAAAATAAATTTCCTTAATGGAAACATGGCAATTTTTTGGGGGAAAAAAAAATTGTGCTAGGGGGAAGTATTTATTTTTTAGTCTTTTTGAATTTATCAAAATTAACGTATTTGGCTAAATTACAATGGAAACCCTCTTTCTCATCACACAAATCTTATAAACAGCAACCGGATGTTACTAAAAGAACAGAAACAGATAGGAAGCAGTAGGAGGATGATGTTGTAGCATATATTCAATGACTTATAGCAAGAAGCAACGTTAATTCACATGTGATTCTCATTGCGTTTCTTATTTAATGGAAACACAGCAATTGCAAAATTGTGCTTTTTCACAACTGACAGAACGTCAAAGTTTTGTACACATTTGTAATGGAAACACAGTCACTGATAGCAGAGCAAACTTTGGGTCGTCTTCAGTCAGTTGTTTCAGTCATCATGGCCCGTTAGTGTTTGTGTGCAGTGCAATCACCACGCAGGTAAAAAAGGACAGGATTTTATTCTCCAACCAGAAGACAGAGTGTGAAACTGGCTAACTCAGGTCATCGATACATCGGAAGCCGTGTTAAATCCTCAGTTAGTGTTCCTTTCATTTGCTGTGTTATGAACACAAACCAAGCATCATTACCTGTACGGTCTTCAGCTGCTGGGCCTGCAACGTAGTCACCTGGTTGCCGGCGCTGCCCACCACTGGTTTCAGCTCTCTCCCACCAATAGTCACCACTTTGAACTGCGGCGATGGAGACTTCGCGTCCCCTGAAGTCTGTGAAACCCCAGGTTTGCCGCTTGTGTGGGGTAACTGGAGCACTATCGGCTGCCCCGACTTCCCTATCGTCGTGACCAAAAGTTTCTGCCCTTCTTGCTTGATGACTTGGGCTGGGGCAGCCGCGGCTTTCGCCGCCTCCGTGGCTTGAGCCGAGGCCACCTTATTCAGAATGATCTGGTGGTTGGCGGCAGAAAAGGCGAACGGAGTTGCGAGCTTCTGTGTGCCGCTCGTGGAAACTGTCGTCCCGGTGAGGCTGTCTGTAGTTTTGGTTGTAGCTGTGGAAGTTGCCAAGGCGGGCTTCATGGCGAACAAGGTCGACGAAGCGGAAATCGTGATGGAAGACTGACTCCCCGGGGCGGAGTCTGCAGCTGCAGCGGCGGTCGCGGCCTGGACGCGCTCCGCAGGAGTGGCGTTGGAGCAGGTGTTTAAACTTTCTGATGTCACGGGAGCGTCCGTTTCCATGGGGACAGACGTGTCATGCGTGGGCTCCGACTGGGAGTGAGGGACCTCCTCTATGGCCTCTGTATCCATGATTTCATCAGGAAGGAGACTGTTGAGCTCCGGTGACACCACATCCATGCCTGCTGTGTCTTAGCTCTCCTTTAAACCTAAAAAAATAAAATGATAAAAAAAAAAAACATTTGTATTAGATGTGTCAAAAATGAGAAGCTTCAAAACAAGAGCAAAACTGAATGGAAACAAATCCATAAAATACCCAAAAAAGAAACAAGACAAAAACTGTTCATGAGTGAAGTTCATGAAAATATCTTGAAATAACTGGATGTCTTTTTTTTTTTTTTAATTGCTGCACTGTCATGGTAATAAATTTTGCTGGACGATAAATTGTCCCATAAGTTATAGCAATAATCAATAATATTGTTTTGAGATCGTTTTCAAATAATGTAGTAATGGCATAATAACACAAGAACACATTTTCAAAGATCCATAAACTTTAAATTCTAATGAACATTTAATGCTGGAACTGGTTTTAAATATGAGCGGAGATGTGCTTATTAAGGGCCAAGACTAAATGAGGGCAGCAGTTCATTTCTATGGTTCTCTCATAAACCCCATTTCCATCAAAAAGATGTATTTCCTAATAGTTTTACATTCAAATCCTATAGCTTTTGTCTTTAGATGTCACACTCCATTTGTATGGTAGCTCTTTTAAAGCATTTATCTGCTAACTGCAGTGTTTTTTTTTTTTTGTTTTTTTTTTTTTTTTGGGGGGGGGGGGGGGGTTTGAAGAAATCGTGTAATTATTTTGCCTTTTGCTGGGCGGTATA